GGACCAGATGGATTCACTGCGGAATTCTACCAGACATTTAAAGAAGAACTGATTCCATTTCTTCTCAAACTATTCAGAACAATCGAAAAAGAGGGAATCCTCCCAAATTCTTTCTATGAAGCCAGCATCACCTTAATCCCTAAGCCAGAGAAAGATGCAGCACTGAAAGAAAATTATAGACCAATATCCCTGATGAACATAGACGCAAAAATCCTCAATAAAATTCTCGCCAATAGAATACAACAACACATCAGGAAATTCATCCACCCAGACCAAGTGGAATTTATTCCTGGTATGCAGGGATGGTTCAACATTCGCAAATCAATCAATGTGATTCACCACATTAACAGACTGCAGAAGAAAAACCATATGATTATCTCAATAGATGCAGAGAAAGCATTCAATAAAATTCAACACCCTTTCATGATGAAAACTCTAAGCAAATTGGGTATAGAAGGCACATTCCTCACTATAATCAAAGCAATTTATGAAAAGCCCACAGCCAGCATCCTATTGAATGGGGAAAAGTTGGAAGCATTTCCACTGAGATCTGGCACCAGACAGGGATGCCCACTCTCACCACTTCTATTTAACATAGTTCTGGAAGTTTTAGCCAGAGCCATCAGACAAGAAAAAGAAATTAAAGGAATACAAATTGAGAAGGAAGAAGTCAAACTATCCCTCTTTGCAGACGATATGATTATTTACTTAGGGGATCCAAAGAACTCTACTAAGAGACTATTGGAACTCATAGAGGAGTTTGGCAAAGTGACAGGATATAAAATCAATGCACAAAAATCAACAGCCTTTGTATACACAAGCAATGCCATGGCTGAGAAAGAACTGCTAAGATCAATCCCATTCACAATAGCTACAAAAACAATCAAATACCTTGGAATAAACTTAACCAAGGATGTTAAAGATCTCTACGATGAAAATTACAAAATCTTAAAGAAAGAAATAGAAGAGGATACCAAAAAATGGAAAAATCTTCCATGCTCATGGATTGGAAGAATCAACATCATCAAAATGTCCATTCTCCCAAAAGCAATTTATAGATTCAATGCAATCCCAATCAAGATACCAAAGACATTCTTCTCAGATCTAGAAAAAATGATGCTGAAATTCATATGGAGGCACAATAGACCTCGAATAGCTAAAGCAATCTTGTACAACAAAAACAAAGCTGGAGGCATCACAATACCAGATTTCAGGACATACTACAGGGCAGTTGTAATCAAAACAGCATGGTACTGGTACAGAAACAGATGGATAGACCAATGGAACAGAATTGAAACACCAGAAATCAACCCAAACATCTACAGCCAATTTATATTTAATCAAGGACCTAAAACCAATTCCTGGAGCAAGGACAGTCTATTCAATAAATGGTGCTGGGAAAACTGGATTTCCACGTGCAGAATCATGAAGCAAGAACCCTACCTTACACCTTACACAAAAATCCACTCAATGTGGATTAAAGACCTAAATCTACGACCTGACACCATCAAGTTATTAGAGAACATTGGAGAAACTCTTCAAGATATTGGCACAGGCAAAGAATTTCTGGAAAAGACCCGGGAGGCACAGGCAAAGCCAAAATCAACTATTGGGATTGCATCAAATTGAGAAGTTTCTGTACTGCAAAAGAAACAGTCAGGAGAGTGAAGAGACAACCGACAGAATGGGAAAAAATATTTGCAAACTATGCAACAGATAAAGGGTTAATAACCAGAATCTACAAAGACATCAAGAAACTCCACAAAAACAAAACCAACAACCCAATTAAGAAATGGGCCAAAGACCTCAATAGACATTTTTCAAAAGAGGAAATCCAAATGGCCAACAGGCACATGAAAAAATGTTCAAGGTCACTAGCAATCAGGGAAATGCAAATCAAAACCACAATGAGATTCCACCTCACCCCGGTTAGAATGACTCACATATAGAAATCTACCAACAACAGATGCTGGCGAGGATGTGGGGAAAAAGGGACACTAACCCACTGTTGGTGGGAATGCAAACTGGTCAAGCCACTATGGAAGTCAGTCTGGAGATTCCTCAGAAACCTGAAGATAACCCTACCGTTCGACCCAGCCATCCCACTCCTTGGAATTTACCCAAAGCAATTTAAATTTGCAAACAAAAAGCGGTCTGCACCCTAATGTTTATAGCAGCACAATTCACAATAGCCAAGACCTGGAACCAACCTAAATGCCCATCAAAGGTAGACTGGATAAAGAAATTATGGGATATGTACTCTTTAGAATACTATACCGCAGTAAGAAACAACGAAATCCAGTCATTTGCAACAAAATGGAGGAATCTAGAACACATCATGCTGAGTGAAATAAGCCAGTCCCAAAGGGACAAATACCATATGTTCTCCCTGATCGGTGACAACTTACTGGACACCAAAAAGGAAACCTGTTGAAGTGAAATGGACACTATGAGAAACGGTGACTTGATCAGCATAGCCCTGACTGTTAATGAACAACTTAATACATTATCCCTCTTAGTAGTTTTTTTGTCTACTCTACTTAATATGACTGGTTTAATTCTGTAATTAATACACAGTTATTCTTAAGTGTTGAAATTTAACTGAAATGTGATCCCTGTTAAACATAAGAGTGGGGATAAGAGAGGGAAGAGATGTACAATTTGAGACATGCTCAGGCTGACTTGCCCCAAATGGTAGAGTTAGAAGCATACCAGGGGATTCCAATTCAATCCCATCAAGGTGGCATGTGCCAATGCCATCTCACTAGTCCAAGTGATCAATTTTCAGTTCACAATTGATCATAATGAAAGGACTAAGAGTCAAAAGGAGCACATAAACAAGTCTAGTACCTGCTAATACTAACCGATAGAATAAATAAAGGGGAGAGTGATCCAACGTGGGAAGTGAGATACTCAGCAGACTCATAGAATGGCAGATGTCCTAAACAGCACTCTGGCCTCAGAATCAGCCCTAAAGGCATTCGGATCTGGCTGAAAAGCCCATGAGAGTATTTCAGGCATGGAAAGCCAAGACACTCTGGCAAAAAAAAAAAAATACTAAACAAAAGATCTCTGTGAGTGAGATCCCAGTGGAAAGAACAGGTCTTCAAAGAAGGAGGTATCTTTCTCTGAAGGGAGGAGAGAACCTCTACTTTGACTATGACCTTGTCTAAACAAGATAAGAGTCGGAGAACTCAAGGGGCTTCCATAGCCTTGGAAACTCATGACTGGAGCATGGGGAGATTACTGAGGCCATAAACAAGAGTGTCAATTTGTAAAGTCAACAACAGGAGTCACTGTGCACTCGCTCCTCATGTAGGATCTCTGTCCTTAGCGTGCTGTACATTGAGACTTAATGCTATAACTAGTACTCAAACAGTATATTTCACTTTGTGTTTCTATGGGGGTGCAAACTGTTGAAAGCTTTACTTAATGTATGCTAAACTGATCTTCTGTAAAAAAAAAAAGAAGAAGAAGAAGAAGAAGAAGAAGAAGAAGAAGAAGAAGAAGAAATTATCAATTCCCAACTTGACTCTCACTGGGATTAAACATGACAATAGGTCTGATCTGATTTCATCATCATTTAAAAAATCATCTATTATTTTTCACTTTATGTTTCTGTGTGGGAGCAAACTGTTGAAATCTTTACTTAATGTATGCTAAACTGATCTTCTGTAGATAAAGAGAATCGAAAATGAATCTTGATGTGAATGGAATGGGAGAGGGAGTGGGAGAGGGGAGGGTTGTGGGTGGGAGGGATGTTATGTGGGGGAAGCCATTGTTATCCATAAGCTGTACTTTGGAAATTTATATTCATTAAATAAAAGTTAAAAAATAAAGTTAAAATCAGAGGGTGTGGTATTATGGCACAGTGAAGTTAAGCTGCTGCTTGTGACACCCACATGCCATATTGGAGCACAGTTGAGTCCAAGCTGCTTGACTTCTAATCCAGCTTCCTGCTAATATGCCTAGGAAAGCAATGGAAGATGGCCAAAATTTTTGGGCTCCTGCCACCTATGTAGGAGAGAAGGGTTTCCTGGTTTTTCACTTCAACCTAGCCCAGACCAGGCTTTTGTGGACATTTGGGGAGTGAACATGGATGGAAGATTTTCTTTCTCTCTCAAGCTCTTTAAAATGAATAAATCATTTTTAAAGTTACAATTATCAAGAATAAGTTTTAATATTCTATTGCAAGTAGGGTTATTACTGTTATTGGTAATATACCATATATTTCAAGATAGTTAGAAGAGAGAACTTTAAATGTTTCAACACAAAGAAATAACGCTTATGGTAATGAATGTTATTTACTCTGATGTGCTCATTATATGGAATACATGTATTGCAATATCACATTGTACTCCATGAATCCATGCTGTGGGCCTGAGTCAAAATCATAATGAGTTTCAGAATGGGTTTGGAGCATCAGTCCCATATGGTGGCAGACTTTCCTACAGGATTGGCTGTTACTAAGAATGACAAATATACAGACTGGAAGAATCATCCCACTCACAACTCTCCTCTCATCCAGTTTAAACTAAAAAGAAAACAGAAAATTCACTACATTTTTGAAAATGAGAACATTTAAATGATACAAAAGGTTTCATCAGTTGTCAAGGATACTCCCAAGAGTAGACTTATAAATTTCAACCTTGTTTTCTTTTTCATAGTCTTACTTGTGTGTGTGTGTGTGTGTGTGTGTGTATTAAAAGAAATACCTTTGTGTATGAACATACATAGGGTACTCGTGATAGTTTTTGAGAAAATGGAATTAAAATTAGCTGCAAATTTTGGGAATGCATTCACAGTTTGTTAATAATATTCATATTCCAAAAACTTTTTAAAGATATCTCTGTGCATGAATTTCAACATAAGCTTTTATTTGAATTCCATTTTCATGAGTTCTTAGAAGTTCTGCCCTATATTTAGTTATGCATATATATGGGTTTGGTGTATATGTATACACACAAATACATCTATAACTTTTAAAATTTATAACTCACATGGTACTGGGTGCTTCCTCATAATTTTCATATGTCAATTCTTCTGTATTTGGTCTAAAGAATTAAAAAGTAAATAGTGAGATACCATGGGGTAAGATATCTTACCTTTTTGTGTCAACTAATTACATTCATTCTAAAAACTGATGTGATATATAGATATAGATATCACTATTTTTCAATCTGGCTTTTTAAAAAATTAGAAATGAAGCTCTTTGTGGTGGAAATGAATATATTAGGCTTGTGAAAGTTGTAATATATGCAGATTTAAGTACCTATTATCTTAACACCAGCTTGTAAGAGTCTTTGGAAAGGACATTTATTACAAACTCAAACTACATTTTATAGATCCACATACCATTTACTATGTCCAGAGTCCTCATTCTTATGTCCCTCTTTATTTTCACCTCTCATGGTCGTCTTCCTTGCCTATGAAACACTTCACTTGAAAGCAATGATGACATTGTTGCTGAGTTGACAGAAGCAGCAAATACATAACTTAAAAAAATAACCATGAAGGAGAAACCAGAAGAATTCCCATGACCGCTTATAATTAAAATATTTGGAGGAAGCACCTGGCTCCTGGATTCGGATCGGTGCAGCGTGCTGGCCATAACAGCCATTTGTGGGGTGAACCAATGGAAGGAAGACCTTTCTCTGTCTCTCTGTCTCTCTCTCTCTCTCACTCTCTCACTGTCTAACTCTGCCTGTCAAAAAAAAGTTAAGTAAAGGGGAATATTTGCTAAGAGAGTACTGAGTTTTAGTACTTGGTATAGAGCTTCCAACCAATGTATTCCATCAAGGAAGATAGCAACAGCTGACCTGTCAGCAGCATTGCAGAGAGGGAGTCTGCTCAGCTGACAAGGTTGTGTTTTGCAAAACTGATGCTTAATTGTAGATGTTATCCTAATTTGTGACATGGAACTAACTCACACATCAGTCTTTGATCAAACAAAAGTACAGATTCTATAAAAACACAATCTGGCTTTTGAATTTGTTAAATCACGTGCTTTGCCACAGGAAATGGAGGCTCTTACAAGGGTTGGATCAGAATTAAAACCCCAAACCCACCCTCTGTTAACCAAGCAGGGATGGTCTGCATTACTTTACTCAACAAGAAGGAAGCAACTGTAATGAGGAGAGATTGCCTCGCCTTACTAACAATTAGCTAGTACCATCATCTAAGGAAAATGAAGCCATGTTGCATCCATGTGTTTCCATCTGCAGAAACCTCACAGGACAGTACAAATTCCTGGCACTTTTACACTCATTGAAGCAGCAAATTCCTCCTTGCCTTTAAGGGCTATGGTTGTGGCATGAACCTTGGCTAACAGGCTGTGAAAATCCAGTTTGCTGTAGCAGAGCTTTCTAACAGACATTTTAAAAAAATCGAATAACCATGTGAAATAATTCTGGCTTAAAAATAGAACATAAATTACAGAGTGGAAGGTGAAGGACAAAAAAGCCTTTTACCTTTAATTTTCCTGGAGAATTGCATAAAGATTTTTGTATAATAGTTTTGCCCTGATTACTGAAGTGGCACGTAAAACTAGAATGAATATTTTGTTTTGAAAAGGTGCTCAAGCTCTGATATTTTTGGTTTTCATAGCTGTGAAGTATTTATCATTTGCATGACTAATAGCACAGGAAAAACCTATTCATAAGCTTTACAATCAAGTGTAGAAGAGCTTTCAACTAACTGGAGTGTTTTTTTTTTTTTAAACAGGCAGAGTGGATAGTGAGAGAGAGAGAGACAGAGAGAAAGGTCTTCCTTTTTTTGCCGTTGGTTTACTCTTCAATGGCACAGGAGGCAGGTGCTTCTCCTGGTCTCCCATGTGGGTGCAGAGCCCAAGTACTTGGGCCATCCTCCACTGCCCTCCCAGGCCATAGCAGAGGGCTGGCCTGGAAGAGGGGCAACCAGGACAGAATCCAGCACCCCAACCGGGACTAGAACCCGGTGTGCTGGTGCTGCAGGTGGAGGATTAGCCTATTGAGCCATGGCACTGGCCCTTACTGGAGTTTTTAAAGCTGACAAAAGATTATCTTGAGCTGGGCCGCTGGAGATAAATTTAGCCTTCAGAACTGCTATATCACTGATCCTGAGATCTATGTACCACCCCAAATTTGCTTAGTTTCACAGTCTTGTGCAAGTAACCTTTTGTCTTATGTGTGTAGCTGAGAGAAGAGTGTATGCTGTGTGTCCATGTATTTATGGTTCCTAAGAATTTGGCACAAGTTGGAAATAATTGCCTACACTGAGAATCTATACTGCAGAATATGCTGTATCAAAGACTTTTTCTTTTAAATTAGTTGAGTGTCTTTTATACATTATTGAAATTATTGGTAGCCCACCCCCTGAAGTGCTTAATAACTGGCATTAAGGTTATAGGATGGGAAAAAAGCTGGGTAGGATTTTCATAGATAAGGAAACTGAAGAAATTAAAGCCAGGCCATGGCTATCAAGAATGTTTCCATTGTGAATATTTCCAAGCTTTGGTATAATTTTTATAATCCTCATTTATGAAGCTCCTTGTGTAAAAGACAGAAAGTTTTGACCAACTTTATTGAAAATATATTTGACTATATAAAAATTGATTTGACTCAAATGCAGGGAAATCAGATTCAAGAAGTATAGTTTACTGAAATAGGAAACATTCATTAGTGAATTGGTGGGGTTTTGAAGCTTCTAACTTCCCAGAATGTTCTGGTTTCTGAGAATTCTATAATTAATAGAAATTTATGACAACTAAGATTGCATTTTGGAAGCAACTATGAAAATTTTGCAGTTTTAATTTTGGATTGCTATGCAGATGTTATAAATAGGTTAAAAATGTGAAAGACTTGGCAAAATGTAAGCTGGAAAAGATTATCTTACATTTATGGTTTTAGTTAAAAATGTTTCTATCAGATACTAAGGTGGGCTTTTACTGGACAGATGTTAATAATAACTGATTTGGCTACCTGATCAATGTTCCCATATAGCCCTACACATTTTGTGACAAGATAACAAAATTTCCAAAACCTGGAGATGGGTCCACCTGTGCTCTTATTATTGGTATTCATTTGGTATGAACAAAACTCAGTTTGAGAGAATTTGTCTGTTGAGATGTTAATACAAAGCTTAACAATGGGAAGACTGTATTTGTTGGCATAAGAAATACTGGTGTCAACAGAGGAAAATTGGTGACCTTGGGTCATTATTCTATGCCCTGATCAGACTAGCAGCTAGATAGGTGAGTTTGAATTTCTTTCTTTTTCTTTTCTTTTTTCTTTCTTTCTTTCTTTTTTTTTTTTTTTTTTTTTTTGACAGGCAGAGTTAGTGAGAGATAAAGGTCTTCCTTCCATTGGTTCACCCCCCAAATGGCCACTACGGCAGGCGTGCTGCACCAATCTGAAGCAGGAGCTGGGTGCTTCCTCCTGGTCTCCCATGAGAGTGCAGGGCCCAAGCACTTGGGCCATCCTCCACTGCCTTCCCGGGTCACAGCAGAAAGCTGGACTGGAAGAGGAGCAACCGGGACAGAATCCGGCACCCCAACCGGGACGAGAACCCGGGGTACCGGCGCTGCAGGCAGAGGATTAGCCTAGTGAGTCGCAGCGCCGGCCTGAATTTCTAACATGCCTAAAAATATTATGGTTTGATCCAAAGACCCTCTTTTTCTTTAACTATCGTGATAAGGTTTTGTTTTGGTTTTTATTTTTATACAAGAGCAGCATTTATTTTAAGTTGTTTTATTTTAATATTACAACTTTTGTTTTTTTCAGCTGTGATGCCAATGGTAACTCTGCCTTTCATTTTGTTGAACTTACAAGAAAACCAGCTGGCATCTGATCGAAAGTATTATGTAAAATCTTTTCTTAAACTATCAGAGGGTGCTTCGATCATTTTTCTCCTTTGGTTTGTAGAGTTAGGACTGAAGTTTCACCTCTGATCACTATAGTTGCCATCACTTTTCTGTATTTAAAACTACTGATATTTGCTTTCCTATATGAGGAAATGTTACCTAAGGATGTCTGGCATTTTCTTTCAGGGTTTTCCAGTTTGAGTGTTCTCAGTGTTCCTATGAAGATAATTGTTTTGTGTGCTGATGTTGAGTTTTTGTTTGTCTTTTTTTTCCAGTGTTTTTTTTTTTTCTCAGTAGTTTTGTGTTAGCACTGATTAAGCTTAATTGTCTCCATAGCCAATGAAATGTTAAAGACTATGGGGGGAGTCTTTTTTTTTTTTTAACATGTCATTGTGCATCTGTTAAATCTTGATCAGGGTTTCAAGAATGACTGCAGTGGGTTTTGGAAACAAACTTAACATTATTGATTTGGGGTTTCCCAGAGATATAGTTCACAGTTAATTGTTGAACTCTAATACAACTGACCATTTAAAATTTAACAATGGCTTATTTTTTTAAACAGTGTCAGCTGTTAAATCTTGACATTTCAATTGAAACATGAATTGTAGTTATAACTCAATACAAATTCAACAGTTGTATTTGGAGTTAAACTATTTTAATAAATAAATTCATTTAATGAAACTGAAAAGAAAAGATTTACTTGAAAAACAGAGGGACAAAGAGTGGGAGAGAGAGAGCAAGAGCAAGAGCAAGAGAAGGACAGAGAGAAATATAGCTATCCTTTACTGGCTTCAACAAGGGCTGCACCAGGGCAATGTCAGGAGGCAGAAACTCCATCTCAATTCCCCATGTGGGTGACAGGGTCTAATGTTGAGTCATCATCCACATCCTTTCAAGATGCATTAACAGGAAGTTAGATTGGACAGGCAACAACCAAGACTGGGACCAGCACTGCAATCTGTGATGCCACAGCTGCAAGTAGTATCAACCTTCCATGTGTGCCACTCTATACACCTTTTGATGATTACTCATGGATAAACCTGTACACATACACACACAACATATATACACACAGATGTATGTAATCTGATATAAATGCAACCCTAAAAGACAAAGGATTAAAGTAATATTTAGTTCTCTCTGGATATACTACTCTTTTAATAGTCCTGATATAGTCATTATTGTCACATGAAGCCTCATTTTTAATTTTCAATAGTACCTACCACATTCAAATCAGTGATATGCACATGTGTATTTGTATATCAATCAGTTCACAGGTAGTACCTTAATTTTAAGGATAGTGTACACTTACCTGTGTATTTTGGGGGATTCATGTATACATATACACATATTGAATTTGTTTTTCACTCACTTGTCATTGATGGATTCCACAAAAGTAATGGATGTTGATTCCTTTGGCTGTGAGCTAAGGGAATATAAAGATACAAAGTCAGAAATCACACAAGATTTTATCTTAACATTTTTGCTCAAATAACTACAGTTATTCTGGACATGAACTGGTTGATCTCCAGATGGTCATGTTACACTGGTGTGTATTTCTATTAGAAATGAAACTTTATGGGGGCCAGTGTAGTAGCATAGGTGAAGCTGCCACCTAGGACACTGGCATCTCAGTTGGTGCTTGATCACTACTTGGCTGCTCCAATTCCAACCAAGCTCCTTGCCAAATGTCCCTGGAAAGCAGCAGAAGAAAGTCTAAATGCTTGGGCCATTGCACTCACATAGGTGACCTGAAAGGAGGTTAGGCTTCCTAGCTTTTGCCCAGTCTCATCCCAGCTAATGGGGCCATCTAGCGAGGGAACCTGCAGAGGATAGATCTCTCTGCCCCATCCCTCCTTGTATTTCCATCTTTCAAGTAAGAAATAAAACTTAAAAAAGAAAACACAAATGAAACATCACATGTATGCATATACACATATTGAATTTGTTTTTCACTCACTTGTCATTGATGGATTCCACAAAAGTAATGGATGTTGATTCCTTTGGCTGTGAGCTAAGGGAATATAAAGATACAAAGTCAGAAATCACACAAGATTTTATCTTAACATTTTTGCTCAAATAACTACAGTTATTCTGGACATGAACTGGTTGATCTCCAGATGGTCATGTTGTATCACTGTTTGAACTTGGTGTGTATTTTTATTAGAAATGAAAAATTATGGGCGTCAGTGTAGAGCTATAGGTTAAACTGCCACCTAGGATGCTGCCATCCGATCTGAGCACTTGATCTCCACCTAGCTGCTACACTTCTGATCAAGCCCCCTGCCAATGTGCCTGGGAAATCAGCAGAAGATGGCACAAGTTCTTGCAGCCATTCACCCACATCGGAGACCTGGAAGGAGTCTCTGGCTTCCTGGTTTTTGCCCAGTCTCACACCAGCTATTGGGGCCATCTAGTGAGGGAACCTGCAGAGGACAGATCTCTGTTTTGGCCCCCTCTATATATATATATATATATAGACAGATCTCTATATTTGGCCTCAAATATAGAAATAAGATAATAAAAAAAACAGAAATAAAACATCAATTCCACTAAGAGGTAGCTACATGCTGTGAAAATCGCAAGGCTTCTGGATTATGTGAAGCTCTTGATTATTACCTAAATTCCAAGGAATGACTCCAACTTAAAACTTTTCTTATGCATTAGTTTTTTATTTGAAAGACAGAATCCCAGAGATGGAGACATTGAGACATCTTCCAGCTACTCGGTTACTCACCAGATGCTTGCAATGGCAGGCCTTAGGCTAGAACAAAGCCTGAAGCCAGGAACTTCATCTGGGTCTCCTATGTGGGTGGCAGGGACTGAATTACTTGCCAGAAGCATTGAGAGGGAGCAGGATCAGAACTGGTACAGCCAGGACTCAAACCATAAGTCTGATATGGGATGCCAGTGTCGCAACTGGTGACTTGACCCAATACATCACAGCACCAGCCCCAACAGCTTTTTGTTTCTCAGCATTTACTTTGAATTCAATTTACTTTTGGTATACATCATTCCATACCACCTATGTTCCCAATTCTCAAGTCTCTCCATCGCCTTCCTACTTTCATACAGGATTCACTTTTCTTCTCCAAACATACAGTCAAGTAATGCAGGCCTAAGCCTGTGGCACCCTCCAATATATATATTTATATATTAAAATAGATTATATATTATATATAATAATATAATTATATTATATAATAACATAATTATATTTTTATATATAAGTTATATATATATATAAATTCAGTTATTTACAGATCCTATACTGAAATGATTTAAATTATGTCAAATATAGTCTATGTTGCTAAGGATACTCCTCATGGTAAGTATTATATATCTTGACTTTTGTTTCTTTTCACGGCTTCTGTGTATATAATGTGTGTGTGTGTGTTTGTGTGTGTGTGCTTCCATGTTCTGAACATAGTTTTAGTATACACATGTATATCTGTGTACACATGTATATCTGGAACAAAATACCATTCTTGTATCAGATCCCAAAGAAAAGAGATTGTTGAAGTGCCTGAGAAAGAATTCAAAAGAATTACGGATGGTCAAAGAGATACAACTGAACACAGACAAATAGTTAAAAAAAAATTAGAAAACAATGCACAAAATCAATGAGATAGTCAGGAAGGACGTAGACATCCTGAAGAAGAACCAAACAAATCTTGGGGATGAACTCACCAGATCAAATAAAAATACAGTTGAAAGCCTCAACAACAGACTTGATCAAACAGAAAAAAGAATATCTGAATTTGAATACAGATCATTTGGAATATCATCTCAGTCATCAAACAAAACAAACAAAAAAGTAAAAAGACAGAATGAAGACAGTCTATGAGACCGTTGGGAAACTACCAAACAAATAAATATCCAAGTTATGGGAATCCCTGAGAGAGAACAGAGGATTAATGGACTAGAAAACCTACTCATTGAAATAATGGCTGAAAACATCCCAGGTTCCTTCCATACCTAGAGAAAGATATGGACATGCTAGGATAGAAGGCCCACAGAACCTCAAATAGACATGACTAGAAAAGAACTTCACCATGACATATTCTGTCAAACTCTCTAAAGTACAACACAAAGAATATTAAAATCTGCCAGAGAAAATTATCAAGTGACCTTCACTCGAAACATCATTAGAAGAGTAACCGTGGTTTCAACAGAAACAATACAGGCCAGGAGAAAACAGAAAGATATAGTCAAGTTCTGAAAAAAAAAGTCTATCAGAATACTTTGACCAGCTTAGCTATATTTCATGAATGAAGAGATAGATATTCTGAGACAAACAAACATTGAAGAAAGCTGTCTATATCTGAACAGCTTTATAAACAATGCTTAAAGGAGTTCTATAGATAGAAACAAAGAAGAGAAATATACTTTTGCATGGAAATTGCACTTTGTGTATTTGTAATGAATATCTTTGGCCTATGGGAAAAATGACTCAAAATTCATGTTCAGTTTTTCTACAAAGAGACAGACTCCTATCCATTAGCATACTGAACATTTCCTTTGAGCTTTGTCTAGGGGTTACTCAATGTGAATACCAGAAGGAAGAAATATTCCTCTTATGACATACTCCTCTTTAATCCAAATATATACAAAAACCTAGAAAAAGTAGCTACATATGCTACTGTGAGAACACATTAAAGGAGTGTAAAAGACTGTCTCTTGCCATGCTTCCTGCCTACAACTACCAAGTCTTTGCTTGCAAAATGGGTTCTCTTCTCCCTAGGATCACTGTGCATCACACTCACAGGTATTTTGATATTTGCCTAGGTTCTAAATGGTGATAGGCTCTGGTTTCTAGTCTCTAAAGTTCACAAACATACCATGAGTACATATTTTCATTACTTATCAATAGTCCCCTTGAATGTAAATGGCTTCAACTCTCCTGTTAAAAGACAGACTAGCTGAATGGATTAAAATCAAAACCCATCTATTTGCTGCCTATCATAAACATATCTCACCAACTAAGATGCACGCAGACTGAAAGTGAAAGGAGAGAAAAAGATATTCCATGCAATTTTTGATGATTCATGCACACACCCATTCATATACACACACACCACATATACACACACAAATAAATATATGTAATCTGACATAAATGCAACCCTAAAAGACTAGTGTTTAAAGTAATAGTTATTTCACTCTGGATATACTGCTGTTTTAAGAGTCCTGAGCTAATTATTATTGTAACATTAATCCTCATTTTAAATCAAATATACCTACCATGATGTGCACACATGTATTTAAATATTATTCAGTTGACAGGTAGTAACATACCTGTGTCTTTTGGGGGATTCATGTATACAAATACACACTGAGTTTGTATTTCACTCACTTGTCACTGATGGATTCCACATATATACTAGATGTTGATTCTCCTGAGTGTGACCTAAGGGAATATAACGGTATATAATCAGAAGTCACACGAGGTTTTATCTTATTATTTTAGCTCAAATGACTACAGTTACTCTTGACGTGAACACAATAGACCAAATGGGACCTAACAATATCTACAGAAGTTTTCATCCTAAAGTAGCAGAATACACATTCTTCTCAGCAGCGCATGGAACTTTCTCCAGGATTAACTACATACTAGGCCATAAAGCAACTCTCAGCAAATTAAAAAAAAATCAAAATCATACCATGCATCTTCTAAGACCACAATGGAATGAAGCTGGAAATCAGCAACTTGAGAATCTCTAGAGCATATGCAAACACATGGAGTTTGAATAACACGTTCCTGAATGAACAGTGGTTCATAGAAGAAATCAAAAGAGAAATCAAAACTATTCTGGAAATGAAGATGACAACACTTAGCAAAACTTATGGGATACAGCAAAAGCAGTGTTAAGAGCAAAGTTTATAGCAATAGGTGCCTACATCAAGGAATTGGAAAGGCACCAAATAAATGACCTATCATTGCAACTCAAGGATCTAGAAAAATGACAGCAAAGCAAACCCAAAGCTAGTAGGAGAAAAGAAATAATTCAAATTAGAGAGAAATCAACAAAATTGAATTCAAAAAACAATACAAAAGATCAGCAAAATGAAGACTGGTTTTTTGAAAAAACAAACAGAATTGAAACATCATCAGACATTACCACAGAGAGTTGTATACCAGCAAACAGGGAAATCTATCAGAAATGGATTGATTCCTGGACACATACAACCTCCCTAAATTGAGCCATGAAGACACAGAAAACCTAAACAGACCCATAACCAAGACAGAAATTGAATCAGTAATAAATGCCCTCCCAACAAAGAAAAGCCCAGGACTAGATGGATTCACTGCTGAATTCTACCAGTCATTTAAAGAAGAACTAACTAAAACTCTTCTCAAGTTATTCAAAACAATTGAAAGAGAGGGAATCCTCCCAAATTCTATGAAGCCAGCATCACCTTAATTTCTAAACCTGAAAAAGATTAATAGAGAAAGAGAATACAGACCAATTTTCCTGATGATCATAGTCGCAAAAAGCCTCAACAAAATTCTAGCCAATAGAATCCAACAACACACCAGAAAGATCACCCACCCAGACCAAGTGGGATTTTTCCCTGGTATGCAGGGATGGTTCAACATTTGCAAATCTATATGTGATGCACTACATTAACAAACTGCTGAAGAAAAACCATATGGTTATCTCAATAGATGCAGAGAAAGCATTTGATAAAATACAAGTCTTTGATAGTTAAAACCCTCAGCAAACTGGACATAGAAGGAACATTCCTCAACAAAATCATGGCAATTTATGACAAACCCACAGCCAGCATCATACTGAATGCGGAAATGTTGGAAGCATTCCCACTGAGATCTGGTACCAGATGGGGATGCCCACTCTCAGCATTGCTATTTGATATAGTACTGGAAGTTTTAGCCAGAGCCATTAGGCAAGAAAAAAAATCAAAGGGGTATAAATTGGGAAGGAAGAAGTCAAACTATCCCTCTTTGCAGATGATATGATTCTTTATTTAAGGGATCCAAAGAACTCCACCAAGAGACTATTGGAACTCACTGAAGAGTTTGGTAAAGCACCAGGATATAAAATCAGTACACAAAAATCAGGAGCCTTTGTACACACAGGCAATGCCACAGCTGAGAAAGAACTTCTAAGATCAATCACATCACCACAGCTACAAAATCAAATACCTTGGAATAAACTTAACCAAGGATGTCCGAGGTATCTATAATTAGAATTACAAAACTTTAAAGAAATAGAAAAAGGTACAAAAATGGAAAAATCTTCCATGTTCATAGATTGGTAGAATTAATGTCATCAAAATGTCCATTCTTCCAAAAGCAATTTACTGATTCAATGCAATACTAATCAAAATACCACAGACATTCTTCCCAGATGCAGAAAAAAAAATGAATCTGAAATTCATATGGAGGCACAGGACATCTAAATAGCTAAAGCAATCTTATACAACAAAAACAGAGCTGGAGGCATCACAATATCTGGTTTTAAGACATAATACAGGGCAGTTATAATCAAAACAGCCTGGCACCGGTACAGAAACAGATGGATAGACCAATGGAACAATTAGAAACACCAGAAACAATCCAAAGATCTACAACCAACAGATTTCTCATCAGAGACCCTAAAAGCTAAGAGAGAATAGTGAGATATAGTCCAAGAATAAAAGAAAAAATTGTCTTCAGAATAGTGAACCCTGCAAAGCTCTCATTTATGAATGAAGGTGTAATAAAGACCTTCCATAAAAAACAAATTGAAAGAATTTGTCACCACCAACCCAGCCTTACAAGAGATGCTTAAGGATGTGCTGCACACAGAAACACAGAAACATAGTTATCACTATGAAAGAAGGTAAAGGCAGAAAACCTCTCAGTAAAAGTACAAAGGAAATACAAAATAAAAAATAGGAATGTTTATGGAAAGATGGTAGGGCAAAGTTGTTATTTATCAGTAGTCTCCTTGAATATAAATGGCCTATCTATCCAGGTAAATGACAGAGACTGGTTCAATGGATTAAAAAAGAAAACCCATCTGGGGCCAGTGCCATGGCTCACTTGGTTAATCCTCCACCTGTGGTGCTGGCATCCCATTTGGGTGCCAGTTCTAGTCCTGGTTGCTGCTCTTCCAGTCCAGCTCTCTGCTATGGCCTGGGAGGGCATTGGAGGATGGCCCAAGTGTTTAGGCCCCTGCACCCACATGGGAGACTGGGAAGAAGCCCCTGGCTCCTGGCTTCAGATTGGCACAGTGTCATAGCGGCCATTTGTGGAGTGAACCAATGGAAGGAAGACATCTCTCTCTCTCTCTCTCTCTCTCTCTCTCACTGTCTATAACTCTACCTGTCAAATAAAAAAAAAAAGAAAACCCATCTATTTGCTGCCTACAAGAAACACATCTCACCAACAAGATACACGCAGGCTGAAAATGAAAGGAGGGAAAAGATATTCCATGTGCTTTTTGATGATTATTCATGTAGACACCCATACATATGCAAACACACCACATATACACACACAGATAAATGTATATAATCTGACATAAATGCAAACCTGAAAGACAAGGGGAAATAGTTATTTCCTTAATAACAATTATATACTTATTTAAGAGTTCTGAGACAGTCATTGTCACATGAGGCCTCATTTTTAGTTTTCAAAAATATCTACCATGTCCAAATTAATGATATTCACATGTGTATTTTTATATCAATCAGTTCACAGGTAGTACCTTAATTTTAAGTATTGTGTATTATTACCTGTGTCTTTTGGGGGATTCATGTATACATATACACATATTGAATTTGTTTTTCACTCACTTGTCATTGATGGATTCCACATAAGTAATGGATGTCGATTCTTTTGGCTGTGAGCTAAGGGAATATAAAGATACAAAGTCAGAAATCACACAATGTTTTATGTTATTATTTTTGCTCACATGACTACATTTATTATGGACATGAACTGGTCGATCTCCAGATGGCCATATTATATCACTGCACATGGTTTGTATTTTTATTAGAAATGAAGCTTTATGAGGGCCAATGCAGTGGCATTGATTAAGCTGCCATCTAGGATCCTGGCATCAGATCTGGGCACTCAATCTCTCCTTGGCTGGTCCACTTCCAATCAAGCTCCTTGCACAATGTGCCTGGGATATCAGAGGAAGTTGGTCTAAGTCTTGGGTCCATGTACCCACATGAGAGACCTGAAAGGAGGTTCTGGCTTCCTGGCTTTAGGGACCATCTAGGGAATGAATCTGCAGATGACAGATATCTCTGTCTTGTCCCCTTCATCAGTACTTCTACCTTTCAAATAAATAAAATTTTTTTAAAAATCAGAAATGAAACATTACATCCCACTAAGGGATAGCTATGTCCTGTGAAAATAGCAAGGCTTCTAAATTCCTAGGAGTGACTGTAGTCTTAAAACTTTTCTTAAAGATTAGTTTGTTCATTTGAAAGACAGAATCCTAGAGAGGGAGACATAGAGAGATCTTCCATCTACTAGTTTACTCCTCAAATGCCTGCAATGACTGGGCCTAGACTAAGCCAAAGCCAGAAGCCAGCTACTTCATCTGGGTCTCCCATGTAGGTGTCAGGGACTCAATTTCTTGGGCCATCTTCTGCTTGCTTCTTGGAAGCACTGGGAGGGAGCAGGATCATTAGCGGTGCAGCCAGTACTCAAACTGTAAGTCTAATATAGGATGCCAGAGTCAAGTGGTGGCTTAACCCACTGCACAAAAACATCACCCCCAACAGCATTTTGTTTCCTCAGCATTTCCTTTGAATTCAATTTACGTTAGGTACACATCACTCCAAACCACCTATATAACAATTCTCAAGTCTCTCAATCGCCTTCCTACTTTCATACAGATTTCACTTTCCTTCTCTGAACATACAGCCAAGTAACTGCAGGCCTGAGCCTGCAGCACTCTCCAAAATAACACTGGGTTGGGGCCACCAAACTCATATAGTGACGGAGCACTGGAGTATGAGAGACACATCCAGGTTCCATTAGTTCTGATCATTTCTGCTAAGGAAGTCACTGTTTCCTGTCCATTATTTTCTTTTTTGCTTCCCATAGATTTCTTTCATTCTGTGGCTCAATGCAGTAGAGACAATAAATGGAAAGCTTTAGTTTTATATATATATATATATATATATATATATATTTACAGATCTGTAAGTTATTTACAGATCTTATTGTGAGAAGATTTAGATTATGTCTAATAGAGTCTAAGTTGCTAAGGATACTTCTCCCAGTAAATATTATATATCTTGACCTCTATTTCTTTTCATGGCTTCTGTGTATATTGTGTCTGTGTGTGTACATGTATGCTTTGGACAGATGTTTGAATATCAACATGTATATATATTAACATGTGTATAAATATAGCTATGTACACAAATTTATTTCAAAAATTTCATATAAAGTGTACATTACATTTTAATTATATTTTCACATTAATTATTTGAAATGCTCAAAGACACATTTATGTCTGTGTGCACATGTATGTCTGGAACAAAATACCATTCTTGTATTAGGTTCCAAAGAAGAGAGATTGATGAAATTCCTGGAAAAGTATTCAAAAGAATGATTATATGGTGGTCAAAGAGATACAACTGAACACAGATAAATAGCTAAACAAAATCAGAAAACAATGCACAAAATCAATGAGATATTCAGGAAGGAGATAGACATCCTAAAGAAGAACCAAACAAATCTTGGGGATGAACTCACCAGATCAAATAAAAAATACAGTTGATGTTGAAATCTTTACTTAGTACATACTAAATTGATCTTCTGTATATAAAGATAATTGAAAATGAATCTTGATGAAGAATGGGATGGGAGAGGGAGTGGGATATGGGATGATTGTGGGTAGGAGGGTGATTACGGGGGGGAAAAACCACTATAATCCAAAAGTTGTACTTTGGAAATTTATATTTATCTAATAAAAATTGAAAAATACAGTTGAAAGCCTCAACAACAGACTTGATCAAACAGAAAAAAGAATATCTGAATTTGAATACAGATCATTTGGAATATCATCTCAGTCATCAAACAAAACAAACAAAAAAGTAAAAAGACAGAATGAAGACAGTCTATGAGACTGTTGGGAAACTACCAAACAAATAAATATCCAAGTTATGGGAATCCCTGAGAGAGAACAGAGGATTAATGGACTAGAAAACCGACTCATTGAAATAATGGCTGAAAACATCCCAGGTTCCTTCCATACCTAGAGAAAGATATGGACATGCTAGGATAGAAGGCCCACAGAACCTCAAATAGACATGACTAGAAAAGAACTTCACCATGACATATTCTGTCAAACTCTCTAAAGTACAACACAAAGAATATTAAAATCTGCCAGAGAAAATTATCAAGTGACCTTCACTAGAAACATCATTAGAAGAGTAACCGTGGTTTCAACAGAAACAATACAGGCCAGGAGAAAACAGAAAGATATAGTCAAGTTCTGAAAAAAAAAGTCTATCAGAATACTTTGACCAGCTTAGCTATATTTCATGAATGAAGAGATATATTCTGAGACAAACAAACATTGAAGAAAGCTGTCTATATCTGAACAGCTTTATAAACAATGCTTAAAGGAGTTCTATAGATAGAAACAAAGAAGAGAAATATACTTTTGCATGGAAATTGCAAAAGTATATTTAAAAATTATTTATTATTTAAAATATTAAATTAAATATTAATTAAAATATTTATTATTTAAAAATTTCAGATGAAATCAGTACAGTTATTCTAGATACAAATGGATTTTTACTCGTTTCTATCTGACCCTATCCTTTAGTAATGTTGTATTAGGTTAGTTACATTTAAAGTGACTTTAATACAGTGATATTAATCGGTGACTTTTTCATACTTCTCTGAGTTCACTGTATAAAAGTCCTTTAACCCCTTTACCCACATGGGAGACCTAGAAGAAGCTCCTGGCTCCTAGCTTCAGCCTTGCCCAACCCTGGTCCTTGGGCCCATTTGGGGAGATGGCCAGGGGATGGAAGCACTCTCTATTTCTCTTCTCTGTAAAATAAACAAAGAAATCAGCCGGCACCGTGGCTCACTAGGCTAATCCTCCGCCTGTGGCGCCGGCACCCAGGTTCTAGTCCCGGTTGGCATGCCGGTTCTGTCCCGGTTGCTCCTCTTCCAGTCCAGCTCTCTGCTGTGGCCCAGGAAGGCAGTGTAGGATGGCCCAAGTCCTTGGGCCCTGCACCCACATGGGAGACCAGGAACTTTGGGGGACATCGCTGTGGTGTAGCGGGTAAACCCCAGTCTGCAGTGCCAGGCCTCTCACATGGGTGCTGGTCGTGGCTTAGCTGCTGCACTTCTGATCCAGCTTTCTGCTGGTGCACCTAAGAGGGCAGCAGAGGACTCCTGCACCCACATGGGAAACCTAGAGGGAGCTCCTGGCTCTTTAGTTCATACTGGCCCAGTTCCAGCCATTGCAGCCATTTGGGAAGTGGACCAGCATTTGCAAGGCCTCTCTCTCTCTGTCTCTATCTCTGTCTCTGTCTCTGTCTCTCTCTCTACCTACCTACCTACCTCTCTAACACTTTCACATGAATAAAAATAATTCTTTTAAAGAATTTGTTTGAACTCACCATTCATTAGGGTCTTCCATAGTGACAGAGTTCAGTTTACCCTGGTTTGGGCTAAGAGATTATAAAGCAAAAGTACACAATCAGAAAGGATGCTGATTTTAAGCTAAGTTTTTCAGATGAAATCAGTACAGTTATTCTAGATACAAATGGATTTTTACTCATATGTTTGGGGGTCCTTCCAAAAGTTTGTGGAAATTAAATAAGAACGTAAGTACTTTAGTGCAAAATAATTTTATTTTTATTTATTAATGATGTTGATTCATCCATGTGTGACCTATTATAAACTTACTTTGTTGGATCCGAGAGCTATAGGTACTCATAAACTAGGTGGTCTTTAGTCACTACTTAAACCCAGTGTTGATGTTATTAGGAACACGACTTCATATTTCAGGTATAAACTTCTTAGTGATATGAACTTAGTAATGCTCTAGATATAATTAAAACTATTATTAACTTAGTCCCAGAGAGAGATAGCCCTTTGTGGTGTCACTTCCTTCAACTCAACTTCAATTTGTAGGGACACATCACTCTCACCTCACCTAAATTCTTGATTCTCAAGTCTCACCTTCACCTCCTTACTTTCACCCATGTTTGTGGTTCTTGTCCATGAGATATGGTCAGGTAGCTGCAGACCTGAGTCAGGGTTCATTCATCCAATAGTGTGTCTGGCATGGGTTATGGGTGTCTTGAGGCTTTGGGACATTTCTAGGGTCTGTTAGTTTTATTTTTCTGTGCTTAGGGCTCCTCTTCTCTGTGCTCAATTTTACCTTCTCCTTAGTGCAAACAGGATTCCTCCTCAATTCCTTTTTGTTATAGAATGAATATTGTCCCCCGAATTTGATTGTTTCTATCCTTAGCCTTGTAACTCACAATGTGAGCTGATGTGCTAATAGGCTCACTGGAAACTAAGCAGTTAAGACGAGGTTCTATTGGCATAGAGTGAGCTCCTGATCCAATATGACTGGTGCCCTTATAAAAAGAAAAATGTGAACGCAGGCACAAACAGAAAGCATGCCATGTGCATATGTGAGCAGAGACCTGGGTAAGGAATCTAAGTGCCAAGGAATACCATAGATGGACAGCAATTGGCAATAGCTAGGAGAGAGGCATAGAACAGATACGTTGTTACTGACCTCCAAAAAGCCTATGTGCAGTAGTTCATTTTCCAGTTCTAACCCCTAGGTCTGTTATATAATAAACTTGTTTAAGACATTCAGCTTGTCATGTGTTGTTACATTAGCTCTAGCAAATGAACACTGCCCACTCTACTACAGTTGCATGCACAAATGATCTGATAGTTTTCCAAGAATTTTGGAACTAGTTATCAAGATGGGAAGAAGTCTGTTTCTTCTGACCTGTTCCTCTTTTATAGAACTGGATGCAAAAAAGGAAAAAAAGTTACAAACAAAAGCTGGCACTGCCAATACTTTAGAAACAGTTTTGAAGGAAATCTACATTTAATATGTATTTAGACATATGTGTATATATCTGTATACAAGTAGGTATCTGACCTTTCATTTTCGACTCCGCCATGAGTGGATACTGCTTCATTTAGAGCAGGGCTGAGGATTAAATTGTACATAATCAAACACCACGTGAATCCATGAACTTCACTTTTTATTCAAATTAGTTGTAATTGATCTACAATTTTAAATTGGTTAAACTAAAAAGTCGCAGTTATTTAAAAATTTCAGATGAAATCAGTACAGTTATTCTAGATACAAATGGATTTTTACTCGTATGTTTGAGGGTCCATCCAAAAGTTTGTGGAAGTGTGTCTGGCATGGATTATGGGTATCTTGAGGCTTTGGGACATTCCTAGGGTCTGTTAGTTTTATTTTTCTGTGCTTAGGGCTCCTCTTCTCTGTGCTCAATTTTACCTTCTCCTTAGTGCAAACAGGATTCCTCCTCAATTCCTTTTTGTTATAGAATGAATATTGTCCCCCGAATTTGATTGTTTCTATCCTTAGCCTGGTAACTCACAATGTGAGCTGATGTGCTAATAGGCTCACTCCTTTTTGTCCAAAGTAAAAAAGTTTTATATGGTGGAAATTAAGTTCTTAGGCTTATAAAGTAAATATTCATGCCTCAAGACTTTTTGAAAATTTTATTAACTGTAACAATTTCATTATCTATGGGTTTAATGATATTAAAACACATGTACACAGCATACACTGACCAAATCAGGGTAATTAGCATTTTCATCTCATTATTCTTTCATTATGTTTGGAGATGCTGAGGTTCTCTCTTCCAGTTCTTTGTGAACTATGTAATAGGCTATCGTCACCCCACTGTGCTGTGGAACTCTAGGACTTTCTCCTTCTAACTTTCTTTCGATACCCATTGTGCAGCCACTCTCTGTAACTACCTCCTAGACCTCTTCAAGTTCTAAGTACCTATACCTCTTGTCCCATCTGATTTCCTGCTTTAACAGCCTCCCTCTCACCATCTCCTTGATTAAACCCATCATGGTTGCCTTTCCTGCTCCATAGATAGGGTTGACTCACTGCAGGCTAGAAGCAAGAGTTCCACCCAGTGTGATGGTGGGTTTGGGCTGAGTGGATTAGCCTCACGTGGTGGCAGTGCCCTGGAGCATGAGGGATTAATCCTGGGAAGATTAGCTCCTTTCTTTGCACTGAGGCCTCCTGTGCTCCCTGCCTACATCTACCAAGTGCTTGCTTCCAAAATGGGTTCTCTTCTCCCTTGTGTCACTGTGCATCTCACACACAGGTATTCTGATAGTTGCCTGGGTTCTGAATTGTGATAGGCTCAGGTTTCTGGTTTCTGAGGTACACAAACATATCATGAGTACATATTTTCTGACCTGGCTCACTTTTTTACATCTAGGTAGAAAACACAAACAGGTTACACGCAGACACTGACAGGCTGTAAATTAACTGTGTGTTGTCATAACGACTCCAAAATGGTTTCCCATGCAGATAACAGAAAACAAGCTCACCTATTATTGACATTCTGGTTAGGGACAACCAAAATGTCTGTCAACGGATTATCATCCCTGTGAAAACAAACGGAAAAAAAAAAAAAACCATCAGACAATTTGGATGAAATGATGCTCTTTCCAGACAGGAGTTTCAGGGAACAAAGAATAAGTCATACATGCGAAAGCCTAGAGACACATGATGGGAACTAAAGCCACAGTTTAGGATCATGGCAGCGAGACCTGTAAGCCTGCCTCAAAATACGCTTGTGTGTGTATGTGAGGGGGCGTGTGTCCTTGTGAATGTAATTATTTACTAGAAATAGAAGGAAGCAAGGGGAAGCACCAATGTGATGGTTAAGATTCCTTCCCCACATTCTGTTCTCTGTCTCGTTCTGGTCAATGTCAGAGAACTTTGGGAAGTGAGAGGGAAATGACAGTGTAGGGATGGGGAAATCCATCTGGATAAAAGTGGACGTAAGGTTACAAATAAAGGGGTGGGGAAAATGCTGGAACAATGACAGTTGAATGGCAAAAATTAGTCCCTGGTGGCCATTTGGTTAGCCTGAAGCCAGTAATGTAGGTCAGCATCTACCTAAACTATAAGATTGTATAAACTGAAGAGAGAGCATGAGATCAGAATGATTATTTTTCTTTGTACTTTGTTTCTAGTATACCTTATTTTTTAGAGAAAATTTATTTGTGGAAAAATTAAAGTACTGAAAGTTTCCATATACTGATTATACTCATTCTGTCTCAGACAGTTTCTTCTATTCCTAACACCTTATATTCTTGTGGTACACTTGCTAATATACCAAATAAAACCCATAGTTGAGGTCCATTCATTGTATTGCACAGTTCTATGTGTTTTGCTAAATGCATGGTGTCATGGTCCATCATTACAGCATAAATTTCCCTGCCCTAAAACTTCCCTGTCTCCTACCTATTCATTCCTCTACTCATCCACCAGTGCCTGACAACTACTGCTCATTTTTCCTGTCTCTATACCTTTCTAGAATGTCATATAGCTAGAATCATATAGTAAGTAGCCTTGTCATATTGGCTTCTTTAACTTAACCATATGCATTCAAGGTTTCAGCAAGCTTTGTCATGGCTACATGGTTCAAATATTTTTAGTGCTGACAAATATGCCATTTTATGTACATGCTGGTTTGTTTATACACTCCTCTATCGAAGGATATGTTGGTTGCTTCCAATTCTTAATAATTATGAATAAAGCTGCTAGAAATATCTGTATGTCAGTTTCCATGTGGACATAACTTTCAAGCCAATTGAGTAAATACTTAAGGGTGCATTTTCTGGGTTGTATAGTGAGACTATGTTTGGCTTTGCAAGAAACTGTCAAACTGTTTTGGAAGGTGGCTGCATATTCTTGCATTCCCACCAGCAATGAATGAGGGTTCCCACTGCTCCACATCCTTGCCAGTATTTGGTATTTTCAGTATATTGGTATATTTCAGTATTTTGGCATATTTCAGGGATTTTAGCCCTTCTAATAGACATTTTTTTAGTATCTTATCGTGTTAATTTGCAATTCTCTACCACTGTATGACTGTGAGCATGTTTTGATATGCTTAAGGACTGTCTGTATATCTTCAGGGTGAGGTGTCTGGTCAAAGGATTGTTATGTTTTCCCACAAAAATCATTCCTTAAGAACAGGTCTTCAAAGAAGGAGGTACCTTTCTCTGAAGGGAGGAGAGAACCTCCACTTTGAATATGACCTTGTCTAAACAAGATAAGAGTCGGTGAACTCAAAAGGCTTCCATAGCCTTGGAAACTCATGACTGTTGCATAGGGAGATTACTGATGCCATAAACAGGAGTGTCAATTTGTAAAGTCAACAACAGGAGTCACTGTGCACTTACTCCTCATGTAGGATCTCTGTCCTTAATGTGCTGTACATTGAGACTTAATGCTATAATGAGTACTCAAACAGTATATTTCGCTTTGTGTTTCTATGGGGGTGCAAACTGTTGAAATCTTTACTTAATGTATACTAAACTTATCTTCTGTAAAAAAAAAAAAGAAGAAGAAGAAATTATTAATTCCCAACTTGACTCTCGCTGGGATTAAACATGACAATAGGTCTGATCTGATTTCATCATCATTTAAAAAATCATCTATTAGTTTTCACTTTATGTTTGTGTGGGAGCTAACTGTTGAAATCTTTACTTAATGTACACTAAACTGATCTTCTGTATATAAAGAGAATCAAAAATGAATCCTCATGTGAATGGAAGGGGAGAGGGAGTGGGAAAGGGGAGGGATGCGGGTGGGAGAGATGTTATGGGGGGGAAGCCATTGTAATCCATAAGCCGTACTTTGGAAATTTATATTCATTAAATAAAAGTTAAAAAAAAAAAAAGAAAAAGGACTTGGATATCAAGAATTCCAAACTGAAAGAGAAATATGTGACAACATGCTGTGGATTTGTACTTAACAATGGAGAGTTTAGATTAATTATAGAGTTAAAGTCAGAAACAAACTCTACAATAAAAATGTTTTGGTAATTGTTAAATAAATCATTCCTTTATCATTATTTAATGGCCCTTGTTACAAATGACAATTTCCTTACTTTGAACTCTGCCTTTTCTGAAATTAATACAGCCATTCTTGCTTTTTCAAAATTAGTGTTAGCACGAAATGGCTTCCTCTATTCTCTCATTTTTATTCCACTTGTGTCTTTATACGTAAAGTAGGTTTCTTGCAAACACTATTTGGTTGGATATTATTTGTGATCGTTTCTATCTGACCCTATCCTTTAGTAATGTTGTATTAGGTTAGTTACATTTAAAGTGACTTTAATACAGTGATATTAATCGGTGACTTTTTCATACTTCTCTGAGTTCACTGTATAAAAGTCCTTTAACCCCTTTACCCACATGGGAGACCTAGAAGAAGCTCCTGGCTCCTAGCTTCAGCCTTGCCCAACCCTGGTCCTTGGGCCCATTTGGGGAGATGGCCAGGGGATGGAAGCACTCTCTATTTCTCTTCTCTGTAAAATAAACAAAGAAATCAGCCGGCACCGTGGCTCACTAGGCTAATCCTCCGCCTGTGGCGCCGGCACCCAGGTTCTAGTCCCGGTTGGCATGCCGGTTCTGTCCCGGTTGCTCCTCTTCCAGTCCAGCTCTCTGCTGTGGCCCAGGAAGGCAGTGTAGGATGGCCCAAGTCCTTGGGCCCTGCACCCACATGGGAGACCAGGAACTTTGGGGGACATCGCTGTGGTGTAGCGGGTAAACCCCAGTCTGCAGTGCCAGGCCTCTCACATGGGTGCTGGTCGTGGCTTAGCTGCTGCACTTCTGATCCAGCTTTCTGCTGGTGCACCTAAGAGGGCAGCAGAGGACTCCTGCACCCACATGGGAAACCTAGAGGGAGCTCCTGGCTCTTTAGTTCATACTGGCCCAGTTCCAGCCATTGCAGCCATTTGGGAAGTGGACCAGCATTTGCAAGGCCTCTCTCTCTCTGTCTCTATCTCTGTCTCTGTCTCTGTCTCTCTCTCTACCTACCTACCTACCTCTCTAACACTTTCACATGAATAAAAATAATTCTTTTAAAGAATTTGTTTGAACTCACCATTCATTAGGGTCTTCCATAGTGACAGAGTTCAGTTTACCCTGGTTTGGGCTAAGAGATTATAAAGCAAAAGTACACAATCAGAAAGGATGCTGATTTTAAGCTAAGTTTTTCAGATGAAATCAGTACAGTTATTCTAGATACAAATGGATTTTTACTCATATGTTTGGGGGTCCTTCCAAAAGTTTGTGGAAATTAAATAAGAACGTAAGTACTTTAGTGCAAAATAATTTTATTTTTATTTATTAATGATGTTGATTCATCCATGTGTGACCTATTATAAACTTTGTTGGATCCGAGAGCTATAGGTACTCATAAACTAGGTGGTCTTTAGTCACTACTTAAACCCAGTGTTGATGTTATTAGGAACACGACTTCATATTTCAGGTATAAACTTCTTAGTGATATGAACTTAGTAATGCTCTAGATATAATTAAAACTATTATTAACTTAGTCCCAGAGAGAGATAGCCCTTTGTGGTGTCACTTCCTTCAACTCAACTTCAATTTGTAGGGACACATCACTCTCACCTCACCTAAATTCTTGATTCTCAAGTCTCACCTTCACCTCCTTACTTTCACCCATGTTTGTGGTTCTTGTCCATGAGATATGGTCAGGTAGCTGCAGACCTGAGTCAGGGTTCATTCATCCAATAGTGTGTCTGGCATGGGTTATGGGTGTCTTGAGGCTTTGGGACATTTCTAGGGTCTGTTAGTTTTATTTTTCTGTGCTTAGGGCTCCTCTTCTCTGTGCTCAATTTTACCTTCTCCTTAGTGCAAACAGGATTCCTCCTCAATTCCTTTTTGTTATAGAATGAATATTGTCCCCCGAATTTGATTGTTTCTATCCTTAGCCTTGTAACTCACAATGTGAGCTGATGTGCTAATAGGCTCACTGGAAACTAAGCAGTTAAGACGAGGTTCTATTGGCATAGAGTGAGCTCCTGATCCAATATGACTGGTGCCCTTATAAAAAGAAAAATGTGAACGCAGGCACAAACAGAAAGCATGCCATGTGCATATGTGAGCAGAGACCTGGGTAAGGAATCTAAGTGCCAAGGAATACCATAGATGGACAGCAATTGGCAATAGCTAGGAGAGAGGCATAGAACAGATACGTTGTTACTGACCTCCAAAAAGCCTATGTGCAGTAGTTCATTTTCCAGTTCTAACCCCTAGGTCTGTTATATAATAAACTTGTTTAAGACACTCAGCTTGTCATGTGTTGTTACATTAGCTCTAGCAAATGAACACTGCCCACTCTACTACAGTTGCATGCACAAATGATCTGATAGTTTTCCAAGAATTTTGGAACTAGTTATCAAGATGGGAAGAAGTCTGTTTCTTCTGACCTGTTCCTCTTTTATAGAACTGGATGCAAAAAAGGAAAAAAAGTTACAAACAAAAGCTGGCACTGCCAATACTTTAGAAACAGTTTTGAAGGAAATCTACATTTAATATGTATTTAGACATATGTGTATATATCTGTATACAAGTAGGTATCTGACCTTTCATTTTCGACTCCGCCATGAGTGGATACTGCTTCATTTAGAGCAGGGCTGAGGATTAAATTGTACATAATCAAACACCACGTGAATCCATGAACTTCACTTTTTATTCAAATTAGTTGTAATTGATCTACAATTTTAAATTGGTTAAACTAAAAAGTCGCAGTTATTCAAAAATTTCAGATGAAATCAGTACAGTTATTCTAGATACAAATGGATTTTTACTCGTATGTTTGAGGGTCCATCCAAAAGTTTGTGGAAGTGTGTCTGGCATGGATTATGGGTATCTTGAGGCTTTGGGACATTCCTAGGGTCTGTTAGTTTTATTTTTCTGTGCTTAGGGCTCCTCTTCTCTGTGCTCAATTTTACCTTCTCCTTAGTGCAAACAGGATTCCTCCTCAATTCCTTTTTGTTATAGAATGAATATTGTCCCCCGAATTTGATTGTTTCTATCCTTAGCCTGGTAACTCACAATGTGAGCTGATGTGCTAATAGGCTCACTCCTTTTTGTCCAAAGTAAAAAAGTTTTATATGGTGGAAATTAAGTTCTTAGGCCTATAAAGTAAATATTCATGCCTCAAGACTTTTTGAAAATTTTATTAACTGTAACAATTTCATTATCTATGGGTTTAATGATATTAAAACACATGTACACAGCATACACTGACCAAATCAGGGTAATTAGCATTTTCATCTCATTATTCTTTCATTATGTTTGGAGATGCTGAGGTTCTCTCTTCCAGTTCTTTGTGAACTATGTAATAGGCTATCGTCACCCCACTGTGCTGTGGAACTCTAGGACTTTCTCCTTCTAACTTTCTTTCGATACCCATTGTGCAGCCACTCTCTGTAACTACCTCCTAGACCTCTTCAAGTTCTAAGTACCTATACCTCTTGTCCCATCTGATTTCCTGCTTTAACAGCCTCCCTCTCACCATCTCCTTGATTAAACCCATCATGGTTGCCTTTCCTGCTCCATAGATAGGGTTGACTCACTGCAGGCTAGAAGCAAGAGTTCCACCCAGTGTGATGGTGGGTTTGGGCTGAGTGGATTAGCCTCACGTGGTGGCAGTGCCCTGGAGCATGAGGGATTAATCCTGGGAAGATTAGCTCCTTTCTTTGCACTGAGGCCTCCTGTGCTCCCTGCCTACATCTACCAAGTGCTTGCTTCCAAAATGGGTTCTCTTCTCCCTTGTGTCACTGTGCATCTCACACACAGGTATTCTGATAGTTGCCTGGGTTCTGAATTGTGATAGGCTCAGGTTTCTGGTTTCTGAGGTACACAAACATATCATGAGTACATATTTTCTGACCTGGCTCACTTTTTTACATCTAGGTAGAAAACACAAACAGGTTACACGCAGACACTGACAGGCTGTAAATTAACTGTGTGTTGTCATAACGACTCCAAAATGGTTTCCCATGCAGATAACAGAAAACAAACTCACCTATTATTGACATTCTGGTTAGGGACAACCAAAATGTCTGTCAACGGATTATCATCCCTGTGAAAACAAACGGAAAAAAAAAAAAAAAACCATCAGACAATTTGGATGAAATGATGCTCTTTCCAGACAGGAGTTTCAGGGAACAAAGAATAAGTCATACATGCGAAAGCCTAGAGACACATGATGGGAACTAAAGCCACAGTTTAGGATCATGGCAGCGAGACCTGTAAGCCTGCCTCAAAATACGCTTGTGTGTGTATGTGAGGGGGCGTGTGTCCTTGTGAATGTAATTATTTACTAGAAATAGAAGGAAGCAAGGGGAAGCACCAATGTGATGGTTAAGATTCCTTCCCCACATTCTGTTCTCTGTCTCGTTCTGGTCAATGTCAGAGAACTTTGGGAAGTGAGAGGGAAATGACAGTGTAGGGATGGGGAAATCCATCTGGATAAAAGTGGACGTAAGGTTACAAATAAAGGGGTGGGGAAAATGCTGGAACAATGACAGTTGAATGGCAAAAATTAGTCCCTGGTGGCCATTTGGTTAGCCTGAAGCCAGTAATGTAGGTCAGCATCTACCTAAACTATAAGATTGTATAAACTGAAGAGAGAGCATGAGATCAGAATGATTATTTTTCTTTGTACTTTGTTTCTAGTATACCTTATTTTTTAGAGAAAATTTATTTGTGGAAAAATTAAAGTACTGAAAGTTTCCATATACTGATTATACTCATTCTGTCTCAGACAGTTTCTTCTATTCCTAACACCTTATATTCTTGTGGTACACTTGCTAATATACCAAATAAAACCCATAGTTGAGGTCCATTCATTGTATTGCACAGTTCTATGTGTTTTGCTAAATGCATGGTGTCATGGTCCATCATTACAGCATAAATTTCCCTGCCCTAAAACTTCCCTGTCTCCTACCTATTCATTCCTCTACTCATCCACCAGTGCCTGACAACTACTGCTCATTTTTCCTGTCTCTATACCTTTCTAGAATGTCATATAGCTAGAATCATATAGTAAGTAGCCTTGTCATATTGGCTTCTTTAACTTAACCATATGCATTCAAGGTTTCAGCAAGCTTTGTCATGGCTACATGGTTCAAATATTTTTAGTGCTGACAAATATGCCATTTTATGTACATGCTGGTTTGTTTATACACTCCTCTATCGAAGGATATGTTGGTTGCTTCCAATTCTTAATAATTATGAATAAAGCTGCTAGAAATATCTGTATGTCAGTTTCCATGTGGACATAACTTTCAAGCCAATTGAGTAAATACTTAAGGGTGCATTTTCTGGGTTGTATAGTGAGACTATGTTTGGCTTTGCAAGAAACTGTCAAACTGTTTTGGAAGGTGGCTGCATATTCTTGCATTCCCACCAGCAATGAATGAGGGTTCCCACTGCTCCACATCCTTGCCAGTATTTGGTATTTTCAGTATATTGGTATATTTCAGTATTTTGGCATATTTCAGGGATTTTAGCCCTTCTAATAGACATTTTTTTAGTATCTTATCGTGTTAATTTGCAATTCTCTACCACTGTATGACTGTGAGCATGTTTTGATATGCTTAAGGACTGTCTGTATATCTTCAGGGTGAGGTGTCTGGTCAAAGGATTGTTATGTTTTCCCACAAAAATCATTCCTTAAGAACAGGTCTTCAAAGAAGGAGGTACCTTTCTCTGAAGGGAGGAGAGAACCTCCACTTTGAATATGACCTTGTCTAAACAAGATAAGAGTCGGTGAACTCAAAAGGCTTCCATAGCCTTGGAAACTCATGACTGTTGCATAGGGAGATTACTGATGCCATAAACAGGAGTGTCAATTTGTAAAGTCAACAACAGGAGTCACTGTGCACTTACTCCTCATGTAGGATCTCTGTCCTTAATGTGCTGTACATTGAGACTTAATGCTATAATGAGTACTCAAACAGTATATTTCGCTTTGTGTTTCTATGGGGGTGCAAACTGTTGAAATCTTTACTTAATGTATACTAAACTTATCTTCTGTAAAAAAAAAAAAAAAAGAAGAAGAAGAAATTATTAATTCCCAACTTGACTCTCGCTGGGATTAAACATGACAATAGGTCTGATCTGATTTCATCATCATTTAAAAAATCATCTATTAGTTTTCACTTTATGTTTGTGTGGGAGCTAACTGTTGAAATCTTTACTTAATGTACACTAAACTGATCTTCTGTATATAAAGAGAATCGAAAATGAATCCTCATGTGAATGGAAGGGGAGAGGGAGTGGGAAAGGGGAGGGATGCGGGTGGGAGAGATGTTATGGGGGGGAAGCCATTGTAATCCATAAGCCGTACTTTGGAAATTTATATTCATTAAATAAAAGTTAAAAAAAAAAAGAAAAAGGACTTGGATATCAAGAATTCCAAACTGAAAGAGAAATATGTGACAACATGCTGTGGATTTGTACTTAACAATGGAGAGTTTAGATTAATTATAGAGTTAAAGTCAGAAACAAACTCTACAATAAAAATGTTTTGGTAATTGTTAAATAAATCATTCCTTTATCATTACTTAATGGCCCTTGTTACAAATGACAATTTCCTTACTTTGAACTCTGCCTTTTCTGAAATTAATACAGCCATTCTTGCTTTTTCAAAATTAGTGTTAGCACGAAATGGCTTCCTCTATTCTCTCATTTTTATTCCACTTGTGTCTTTATACGTAAAGTAGGTTTCTTGCAAACACTATTTGGTTGGATATTATTTGTGATCGTTTCTATCTGACCCTATCCTTTAGTAATGTTGTATTAGGTTAGTTACATTTAAAGTGACTTTAATACAGTGATATTAATCGGTGACTTTTTCATACTTCTCTGAGTTCACTGTATAAAAGTCCTTTAACCCCTTTACCCACATGGGAGACCTAGAAGAAGCTCCTGGCTCCTAGCTTCAGCCTTGCCCAACCCTGGTCCTTGGGCCCATTTGGGGAGATGGCCAGGGGATGGAAGCACTCTCTATTTCTCTTCTCTGTAAAATAAACAAAGAAATCAGCCGGCACCGTGGCTCACTAGGCTAATCCTCCGCCTGTGGCGCCGGCACCCAGGTTCTAGTCCCGGTTGGCATGCCGGTTCTGTCCCGGTTGCTCCTCTTCCAGTCCAGCTCTCTGCTGTGGCCCAGGAAGGCAGTGTAGGATGGCCCAAGTCCTTGGGCCCTGCACCCACATGGGAGACCAGGAACTTTGGGGGACATCGCTGTGGTGTAGCGGGTAAACCCCAGTCTGCAGTGCCAGGCCTCTCACATGGGTGCTGGTCGTGGCTTAGCTGCTGCACTTCTGATCCAGCTTTCTGCTGGTGCACCTAAGAGGGCAGCAGAGGACTCCTGCACCCACATGGGAAACCTAGAGGGAGCTCCTGGCTCTTTAGTTCATACTGGCCCAGTTCCAGCCATTGCAGCCATTTGGGAAGTGGACCAGCATTTGCAAGGCCTCTCTCTCTCTGTCTCTATCTCTGTCTCTGTCTCTGTCTCTCTCTCTACCTACCTACCTACCTCTCTAACACTTTCACATGAATAAAAATAATTCTTTTAAAGAATTTGTTTGAACTCACCATTCATTAGGGTCTTCCATAGTGACAGAGTTCAGTTTACCCTGGTTTGGGCTAAGAGATTATAAAGCAAAAGTACACAATCAGAAAGGATGCTGATTTTAAGCTAAGTTTTTCAGATGAAATCAGTACAGTTATTCTAGATACAAATGGATTTTTACTCATATGTTTGGGGGTCCTTCCAAAAGTTTGTGGAAATTAAATAAGAACGTAAGTACTTTAGTGCAAAATAATTTTATTTTTATTTATTAATGATGTTGATTCATCCATGTGTGACCTATTATAAACTTACTTTGTTGGATCCGAGAGCTATAGGTACTCATAAACTAGGTGGTCTTTAGTCACTACTTAAACCCAGTGTTGATGTTATTAGGAACACGACTTCATATTTCAGGTATAAACTTCTTAGTGATATGAACTTAGTAATGCTCTAGATATAATTAAAACTATTATTAACTTAGTCCCAGAGAGAGATAGCCCTTTGTGGTGTCACTTCCTTCAACTCAACTTCAATTTGTAGGGACACATCACTCTCACCTCACCTAAATTCTTGATTCTCAAGTCTCACCTTCACCTCCTTACTTTCACCCATGTTTGTGGTTCTTGTCCATGAGATATGGTCAGGTAGCTGCAGACCTGAGTCAGGGTTCATTCATCCAATAGTGTGTCTGGCATGGGTTATGGGTGTCTTGAGGCTTTGGGACATTTCTAGGGTCTGTTAGTTTTATTTTTCTGTGCTTAGGGCTCCTCTTCTCTGTGCTCAATTTTACCTTCTCCTTAGTGCAAACAGGATTCCTCCTCAATTCCTTTTTGTTATAGAATGAATATTGTCCCCCGAATTTGATTGTTTCTATCCTTAGCCTTGTAACTCACAATGTGAGCTGATGTGCTAATAGGCTCACTGGAAACTAAGCAGTTAAGACGAGGTTCTATTGGCATAGAGTGAGCTCCTGATCCAATATGACTGGTGCCCTTATAAAAAGAAAAATGTGAACGCAGGCACAAACAGAAAGCATGCCATGTGCATATGTGAGCAGAGACCTGGGTAAGGAATCTAAGTGCCAAGGAATACCATAGATGGACAGCAATTGGCAATAGCTAGAGAGAGGCATAGAACAGATACGTTGTTACTGACCTCCAAAAAGCCTATGTGCAGTAGTTCATTTTCCAGTTCTAACCCCTAGGTCTGTTATATAATAAACTTGTTTAAGACACTCAGCTTGTCATGTGTTGTTACATTAGCTCTAGCAAATGAACACTGCCCACTCTACTACAGTTGCATGCACAAATGATCTGATAGTTTTCCAAGAATTTTGGAACTAGTTATCAAGATGGGAAGAAGTCTGTTTCTTCTGACCTGTTCCTCTTTTATAGAACTGGATGCAAAAAAGGAAAAAAAGTTACAAACAAAAGCTGGCACTGCCAATACTTTAGAAACAGTTTTGAAGGAAATCTACATTTAATATGTATTTAGACATATGTGTATATATCTGTATACAAGTAGGTATCTGACCTTTCATTTTCGACTCCGCCATGAGTGGATACTGCTTCATTTAGAGCAGGGCTGAGGATTAAATTGTACATAATCAAACACCACGTGAATCCATGAACTTCACTTTTTATTCAAATTAGTTGTAATTGATCTACAATTTTAAATTGGTTAAACTAAAAAGTCGCAGTTATTCAAAAATTTCAGATGAAATCAGTACAGTTATTCTAGATACAAATGGATTTTTACTCGTATGTTTGAGGGTCCATCCAAAAGTTTGTGGAAGTGTGTCTGGCATGGATTATGGGTATCTTGAGGCTTTGGGACATTCCTAGGGTCTGTTAGTTTTATTTTTCTGTGCTTAGGGCTCCTCTTCTCTGTGCTCAATTTTACCTTCTCCTTAGTGCAAACAGGATTCCTCCTCAATTCCTTTTTGTTATAGAATGAATATTGTCCCCCGAATTTGATTGTTTCTATCCTTAGCCTGGTAACTCACAATGTGAGCTGATGTGCTAATAGGCTCACTCCTTTTTGTCCAAAGTAAAAAAGTTTTATATGGTGGAAATTAAGTTCTTAGGCCTATAAAGTAAATATTCATGCCTCAAGACTTTTTGAAAATTTTATTAACTGTAACAATTTCATTATCTATGGGTTTAATGATATTAAAACACATGTACACAGCATACACTGACCAAATCAGGGTAATTAGCATTTTCATCTCATTATTCTTTCATTATGTTTGGAGATGCTGAGGTTCTCTCTTCCAGTTCTTTGTGAAATATGTAATAGGCTATCGTCACCCCACTGTGCTGTGGAACTCTAGGACTTTCTCCTTCTAACTTTCTTTCGATACCCATTGTGCAGCCACTCTCTGTAACTACCTCCTAGACCTCTTCAAGTTCTAAGTACCTATACCTCTTGTCCCATCTGATTTCCTGCTTTAACAGCCTCCCTCTCACCATCTCCTTGATTAAACCCATCATGGTTGCCTTTCCTGCTCCATAGATAGGGTTGACTCACTGCAGGCTAGAAGCAAGAGTTCCACCCAGTGTGATGGTGGGTTTGGGCTGAGTGGATTAGCCTCACGTGGTGGCAGTGCCCTGGAGCATGAGGGATTAATCCTGGGAAGATTAGCTCCTTTCTTTGCACTGAGGCCTCCTGTGCTCCCTGCCTACATCTACCAAGTGCTTGCTTCCAAAATGGGTTCTCTTCTCCCTTGTGTCACTGTGCATCTCACACACAGGTATTCTGATAGTTGCCTGGGTTCTGAATTGTGATAGGCTCAGGTTTCTGGTTTCTGAGGTACACAAACATATCATGAGTACATATTTTCTGACCTGGCTCACTTTTTTACATCTAGGTAGAAAACACAAACAGGTTACACGCAGACACTGACAGGCTGTAAATTAACTGTGTGTTGTCATAACGACTCCAAAATGGTTTCCCATGCAGATAACAGAAAACAAACTCACCTATTATTGACATTCTGGTTAGGGACAACCAAAATGTCTGTCAACGGATTATCATCCCTGTGAAAACAAACGGAAAAAAAAAAAAAAAAAACCATCAGACAATTTGGATGAAATGATGCTCTTTCCAGACAGGAGTTTCAGGGAACAAAGAATAAGTCATACATGCGAAAGCCTAGAGACACATGATGGGAACTAAAGCCACAGTTTAGGATCATGGCAGCGAGACCTGTAAGCCTGCCTCAAAATACGCTTGTGTGTGTATGTGAGGGGGCGTGTGTCCTTGTGAATGTAATTATTTACTAGAAATAGAAGGAAGCAAGGGGAAGCACCAATGTGATGGTTAAGATTCCTTCCCCACATTCTGTTCTCTGTCTCGTTCTGGTCAATGTCAGAGAACTTTGGGAAGTGAGAGGGAAATGACAGTGTAGGGATGGGGAAATCCATCTGGATAAAAGTGGACGTAAGGTTACAAATAAAGGGGTGGGGAAAATGCTGGAACAATGACAGTTGAATGGCAAAAATTAGTCCCTGGTGGCCATTTGGTTAGCCTGAAGCCAGTAATGTAGGTCAGCATCTACCTAAACTATAAGATTGTATAAACTGAAGAGAGAGCATGAGATCAGAATGATTATTTTTCTTTGTACTTTGTTTCTAGTATACCTTATTTTTTAGAGAAAATTTATTTGTGGAAAAATTAAAGTACTGAAAGTTTCCATATACTGATTATACTCATTCTGTCTCAGACAGTTTCTTCTATTCCTAACACCTTATATTCTTGTGGTACACTTGCTAATATACCAAATAAAACCCATAGTTGAGGTCCATTCATTGTATTGCACAGTTCTATGTGTTTTGCTAAATGCATGGTGTCATGGTCCATCATTACAGCATAAATTTCCCTGCCCTAAAACTTCCCTGTCTCCTACCTATTCATTCCTCTACTCATCCACCAGTGCCTGACAACTACTGCTCATTCTTCCTGTCTCTATACCTTTCTAGAATGTCATATAGCTAGAATCATATAGTAAGTAGCCTTGTCATATTGGCTTCTTTAACTTAACCATATGCATTCAAGGTTTCAGCAAGCTTTGTCATGGCTACATGGTTCAAATATTTTTAGTGCTGACAAATATGCCATTTTATGTACATGCTGGTTTGTTTATACACTCCTCTATCGAAGGATATGTTGGTTGCTTCCAATTCTTAATAATTATGAATAAAGCTGCTAGAAATATCTGTATGTCAGTTTCCATGTGGACATAACTTTCAAGCCAATTGAGTAAATACTTAAGGGTGCATTTTCTGGGTTGTATAGTGAGACTATGTTTGGCTTTGCAAGAAACTGTCAAACTGTTTTGGAAGGTGGCTGCATTATCTTGCATTCCCACCAGCAATGAATGAGGGTTCCCACTGCTCCACATCCTTGCCAGTATTTGGTATTTTCAGTATATTGGTATATTTCAGTATTTTGGCATATTTCAGGGATTTTAGCCCTTCTAATAGACATTTTTTTAGTATCTTATCGTGTTAATTTGCAATTCTCTACCACTGTATGACTGTGAGCATGTTTTGATATGCTTAAGGACTGTCTGTATATCTTCAGGGTGAGGTGTCTGGTCAAAGGATTGTTATGTTTTCCCACAAAAATCATTCCTTAAGAACAGGTCTTCAAAGAAGGAGGTACCTTTCTCTGAAGGGAGGAGAGAACCTCCACTTTGAATATGACCTTGTCTAAACAAGATAAGAGTCGGTGAACTCAAAAGGCTTCCATAGCCTTGGAAACTCATGACTGTTGCATAGGGAGATTACTGATGCCATAAACAGGAGTGTCAATTTGTAAAGTCAACAACAGGAGTCACTGTGCACTTACTCCTCATGTAGGATCTCTGTCCTTAATGTGCTGTACATTGAGACTTAATGCTATAATGAGTACTCAAACAGTATATTTCGCTTTGTGTTTCTATGGGGGTGCAAACTGTTGAAATCTTTACTTAATGTATACTAAACTTATCTTCTGTAAAAAAAAAAAAAAGAAGAAGAAGAAATTATTAATTCCCAACTTGACTCTCGCTGGGATTAAACATGACAATAGGTCTGATCTGATTTCATCATCATTTAAAAAATCATCTATTAGTTTTCACTTTATGTTTGTGTGGGAGCTAACTGTTGAAATCTTTACTTAATGTACACTAAACTGATCTTCTGTATATAAAGAGAATCGAAAATGAATCCTCATGTGAATGGAAGGGGAGAGGGAGTGGGAAAGGGGAGGGATGCGGGTGGGAGAGATGTTATGGGGGGGAAGCCATTGTAATCCATAAGCCGTACTTTGGAAATTTATATTCATTAAATAAAAGTTAAAAAAAAAAAGAAAAAGGACTTGGATATCAAGAATTCCAAACTGAAAGAGAAATATGTGACAACATGCTGTGGATTTGTACTTAACAATGGAGAGTTTAGATTAATTATAGAGTTAAAGTCAGAAACAAACTCTACAATAAAAATGTTTTGGTAATTGTTAAATAAATCATTCCTTTATCATTACTTAATGGCCCTTGTTACAAATGACAATTTCCTTACTTTGAACTCTGCCTTTTCTGAAATTAATACAGCCATTCTTGCTTTTTCAAAATTAGTGTTAGCACAAAATGGCTTCCTCTATTCTCTCATTTTTATTCCACTTGTGTCTTTATACGTAAAGTAGGTTTCTTGCAAACACTATTTGGTTGGATATTATTTGTGATCGTTTCTATCTGACCCTATCCTTTAGTAATGTTGTATTAGGTTAGTTACATTTAAAGTGACTTTAATACAGTGATATTAATCGGTGACTTTTTCATACTTCTCTGAGTTCACTGTATAAAAGTCCTTTAACCCCTTTACCCACATGGGAGACCTAGAAGAAGCTCCTGGCTCCTAGCTTCAGCCTTGCCCAACCCTGGTCCTTGGGCCCATTTGGGGAGATGGCCAGGGGATGGAAGCACTCTCTATTTCTCTTCTCTGTAAAATAAACAAAGAAATCAGCCGGCACCGTGGCTCACTAGGCTAATCCTCCGCCTGTGGCGCCGGCACCCAGGTTCTAGTCCCGGTTGGCATGCCGGTTCTGTCCCGGTTGCTCCTCTTCCAGTCCAGCTCTCTGCTGTGGCCCAGGAAGGCAGTGTAGGATGGCCCAAGTCCTTGGGCCCTGCACCCACATGGGAGACCAGGAACTTTGGGGGACATCGCTGTGGTGTAGCGGGTAAACCCCAGTCTGCAGTGCCAGGCCTCTCACATGGGTGCTGGTCGTGGCTTAGCTGCTGCACTTCTGATCCAGCTTTCTGCTGGTGCACCTAAGAGGGCAGCAGAGGACTCCTGCACCCACATGGGAAACCTAGAGGGAGCTCCTGGCTCTTTAGTTCATACTGGCCCAGTTCCAGCCATTGCAGCCATTTGGGAAGTGGACCAGCATTTGCAAGGCCTCTCTCTCTCTGTCTCTGTCTCTGTCTCTGTCTCTGTCTCTCTCTCTCTCTCTACCTACCTACCTCTCTAACACTTTCACATGAATAAAAATAATTCTTTTAAAGAATTTGTTTGAACTCACCATTCATTAGGGTCTTCCATAGTGACAGAGTTCAGTTTACCCTGGTTTGGGCTAAGAGATTATAAAGCAAAAGTACACAATCAGAAAGGATGCTGATTTTAAGCTAAGTTTTTCAGATGAAATCAGTACAGTTATTCTAGATACAAATGGATTTTTACTCATATGTTTGGGGGTCCTTCCAAAAGTTTGTGGAAATTAAATAAGAACGTAAGTACTTTAGTGCAAAATAATTTTATTTTTATTTATTAATGATGTTGATTCATCCATGTGTGACCTATTATAAACTTACTTTGTTGGATCCGAGAGCTATAGGTACTCATAAACTAGGTGGTCTTTAGTCACTACTTAAACCCAGTGTTGATGTTATTAGGAACACGACTTCATATTTCAGGTATAAACTTCTTAGTGATATGAACTTAGTAATGCTCTAGATATAATTAAAACTATTATTAACTTAGTCCCAGAGAGAGATAGCCCTTTGTGGTGTCACTTCCTTCAACTCAACTTCAATTTGTAGGGACACATCACTCTCACCTCACCTAAATTCTTGATTCTCAAGTCTCACCTTCACCTCCTTACTTTCACCCATGTTTGTGGTTCTTGTCCATGAGATATGGTCAGGTAGCTGCAGACCTGAGTCAGGGTTCATTCATCCAATAGTGTGTCTGGCATGGGTTATGGGTGTCTTGAGGCTTTGGGACATTTCTAGGGTCTGTTAGTTTTATTTTTCTGTGCTTAGGGCTCCTCTTCTCTGTGCTCAATTTTACCTTCTCCTTAGTGCAAACAGGATTCCTCCTCAATTCCTTTTTGTTATAGAATGAATATTGTCCCCCGAATTTGATTGTTTCTATCCTTAGCCTTGTAACTCACAATGTGAGCTGATGTGCTAATAGGCTCACTGGAAACTAAGCAGTTAAGACGAGGTTCTATTGGCATAGAGTGAGCTCCTGATCCAATATGACTGGTGCCCTTATAAAAAGAAAAATGTGAACGCAGGCACAAACAGAAAGCATGCCATGTGCATATGTGAGCAGAGACCTGGGTAAGGAATCTAAGTGCCAAGGAATACCATAGATGGACAGCAATTGGCAATAGCTAGGAGAGAGGCATAGAACAGATACGTTGTTACTGACCTCCAAAAAGCCTATGTGCAGTAGTTCATTTTCCAGTTCTAACCCCTAGGTCTGTTATATAATAAACTTGTTTAAGACACTCAGCTTGTCATGTGTTGTTACATTAGCTCTAGCAAATGAACACTGCCCACTCTACTACAGTTGCATGCACAAATGATCTGATAGTTTTCCAAGAATTTTGGAACTAGTTATCAAGATGGGAAGAAGTCTGTTTCTTCTGACCTGTTCCTCTTTTATAGAACTGGATGCAAAAAAGGAAAAAAAGTTACAAACAAAAGCTGGCACTGCCAATACTTTAGAAACAGTTTTGAAGGAAATCTACATTTAATATGTATTTAGACATATGTGTATATATCTGTATACAAGTAGGTATCTGACCTTTCATTTTCGACTCCGCCATGAGTGGATACTGCTTCATTTAGAGCAGGGCTGAGGATTAAATTGTACATAATCAAACACCACGTGAATCCATGAACTTCACTTTTTATTCAAATTAGTTGTAATTGATCTACAATTTTAAATTGGTTAAACTAAAAAGTCGCAGTTATTCAAAAATTTCAGATGAAATCAGTACAGTTATTCTAGATACAAATGGATTTTTACTCGTATGTTTGAGGGTCCATCCAAAAGTTTGTGGAAGTGTGTCTGGCATGGATTATGGGTATCTTGAGGCTTTGGGACATTCCTAGGGTCTGTTAGTTTTATTTTTCTGTGCTTAGGGCTCCTCTTCTCTGTGCTCAATTTTACCTTCTCCTTAGTGCAAACAGGATTCCTCCTCAATTCCTTTTTGTTATAGAATGAATATTGTCCCCCGAATTTGATTGTTTCTATCCTTAGCCTGGTAACTCACAATGTGAGCTGATGTGCTAATAGGCTCACTCCTTTTTGTCCAAAGTAAAAAAGTTTTATATGGTGGAAATTAAGTTCTTAGGCCTATAAAGTAAATATTCATGCCTCAAGACTTTTTGAAAATTTTATTAACTGTAACAATTTCATTATCTATGGGTTTAATGATATTAAAACACATGTACACAGCATACACTGACCAAATCAGGGTAATTAGCATTTTCATCTCATTATTCTTTCATTATGTTTGGAGATGCTGAGGTTCTCTCTTCCAGTTCTTTGTGAAATATGTAATAGGCTATCGTCACCCCACTGTGCTGTGGAACTCTAGGACTTTCTCCTTCTAACTTTCTTTCGATACCCATTGTGCAGCCACTCTCTGTAACTACCTCCTAGACCTCTTCAAGTTCTAAGTACCTATACCTCTTGTCCCATCTGATTTCCTGCTTTAACAGCCTCCCTCTCACCATCTCCTTGATTAAACCCATCATGGTTGCCTTTCCTGCTCCATAGATAGGGTTGACTCACTGCAGGCTAGAAGCAAGAGTTCCACCCAGTGTGATGGTGGGTTTGGGCTGAGTGGATTAGCCTCACGTGGTGGCAGTGCCCTGGAGCATGAGGGATTAATCCTGGGAAGATTAGCTCCTTTCTTTGCACTGAGGCCTCCTGTGCTCCCTGCCTACATCTACCAAGTGCTTGCTTCCAAAATGGGTTCTCTTCTCCCTTGTGTCACTGTGCATCTCACACACAGGTATTCTGATAGTTGCCTGGGTTCTGAATTGTGATAGGCTCAGGTTTCTGGTTTCTGAGGTACACAAACATATCATGAGTACATATTTTCTGACCTGGCTCACTTTTTTACATCTAGGTAGAAAACACAAATAGGTTACACGCAGACACTGACAGGCTGTAAATTAACTGTGTGTTGTCATAACGACTCCAAAATGGTTTCCCATGCAGATAACAGAAAACAAACTCACCTATTATTGACATTCTGGTTAGGGACAACCAAAATGTCTGTCAACGGATTATCATCCCTGTGAAAACAAACGGAAAAAAAAAAAAAAAAACCATCAGACAATTTGGATGAAATGATGCTCTTTCCAGACAGGAGTTTCAGGGAACAAAGAATAAGTCATACATGCGAAAGCCTAGAGACACATGATGGGAACTAAAGCCACAGTTTAGGATCATGGCAGCGAGACCTGTAAGCCTGCCTCAAAATACGCTTGTGTGTGTATGTGAGGGGGCGTGTGTCCTTGTGAATGTAATTATTTACTAGAAATAGAAGGAAGCAAGGGGAAGCACCAATGTGATGGTTAAGATTCCTTCCCCACATTCTGTTCTCTGTCTCGTTCTGGTCAATGTCAGAGAACTTTGGGAAGTGAGAGGGAAATGACAGTGTAGGGATGGGGAAATCCATCTGGATAAAAGTGGACGTAAGGTTACAAATAAAGGGGTGGGGAAAATGCTGGAACAATGACAGTTGAATGGCAAAAATTAGTCCCTGGTGGCCATTTGGTTAGCCTGAAGCCAGTAATGTAGGTCAGCATCTACCTAAACTATAAGATTGTATAAACTGAAGAGAGAGCATGAGATCAGAATGATTATTTTTCTTTGTACTTTGTTTCTAGTATACCTTATTTTTTAGAGAAAATTTATTTGTGGAAAAATTAAAGTACTGAAAGTTTCCATATACTGATTATACTCATTCTGTCTCAGACAGTTTCTTCTATTCCTAACACCTTATATTCTTGTGGTACACTTGCTAATATACCAAATAAAACCCATAGTTGAGGTCCATTCATTGTATTGCACAGTTCTATGTGTTTTGCTAAATGCATGGTGTCATGGTCCATCATTACAGCATAAATTTCCCTGCCCTAAAACTTCCCTGTCTCCTACCTATTCATTCCTCTACTCATCCACCAGTGCCTGACAACTACTGCTCATTCTTCCTGTCTCTATACCTTTCTAGAATGTCATATAGCTAGAATCATATAGTAAGTAGCCTTGTCATATTGGCTTCTTTAACTTAACCATATGCATTCAAGGTTTCAGCAAGCTTTGTCATGGCTACATGGTTCAAATATTTTTAGTGCTGACAAATATGCCATTTTATGTACATGCTGGTTTGTTTATACACTCCTCTATCGAAGGATATGTTGGTTGCTTCCAATTCTTAATAATTATGAATAAAGCTGCTAGAAATATCTGTATGTCAGTTTCCATGTGGACATAACTTTCAAGCCAATTGAGTAAATACTTAAGGGTGCATTTTCTGGGTTGTATAGTGAGACTATGTTTGGCTTTGCAAGAAACTGTCAAACTGTTTTGGAAGGTGGCTGCATTATCTTGCATTCCCACCAGCAATGAATGAGGGTTCCCACTGCTCCACATCCTTGCCAGTATTTGGTATTTTCAGTATATTGGTATATTTCAGTATTTTGGCATATTTCAGGGATTTTAGCCCTTCTAATAGACATTTTTTTAGTATCTTATCGTGTTAATTTGCAATTCTCTACCACTGTATGACTGTGAGCATGTTTTGATATGCTTAAGGACTGTCTGTATATCTTCAGGGTGAGGTGTCTGGTCAAAGGATTATTATGTTTTCCTGCAAAAATCATTCCTTTATCATTACTTAATGGCCCTTGTTACAAATGACAATTTCCTTACTTTGGACTCTGCCTTTTCTGAAATTAATACAGCCATTCTTGCTTTTTCAAAATTAGTGTTAGCACGAAATGGCTTCCTCTATTCTCTCATTTTTATTCCACTTGTGTCTTTATACGTAAAGTAGGTTTCTTGCAAACACTATTTGGTTGGATATTATTTGTGATCGTTTCTATCTGACCCTATCCTTTAGTAATGTTGTATTAGGTTAGTTACATTTAAAGTGACTTTAATACAGTGATATTAATCGGTGACTTTTTCATACTTCTCTGAGTTCACTGTATAAAAGTCCTTTAACCCCTTTACCCACATGGGAGACCTAGAAGAAGCTCCTGGCTCCTAGCTTCAGCCTTGCCCAACCCTGGTCCTTGGGCCCATTTGGGGAGATGGCCAGGGGATGGAAGCACTCTCTATTTCTCTTCTCTGTAAAATAAACAAAGAAATCAGCCGGCACTGTGGCTCACTAGGCTAATCCTCCGCCTGTGGCGCCGGCACCCAGGTTCTAGTCCCGGTTGGCATGCCGGTTCTGTCCCGGTTGCTCCTCTTCCAGTCCAGCTCTCTGCTGTGGCCCAGGAAGGCAGTGTAGGATGGCCCAAGTCCTTGGGCCCTGCACCCACATGGGAGACCAGGAACTTTGGGGGACATCGCTGTGGTGTAGCGGGTAAACCCCAGTCTGCAGTGCCAGGCCTCTCACATGGGTGCTGGTCGTGGCTTAGCTGCTGCACTTCTGATCCAGCTTTCTGCTGGTGCACCTAAGAGGGCAGCAGAGGACTCCTGCACCCACATGGGAAACCTAGAGGGAGCTCCTGGCTCTTTAGTTCATACTGGCCCAGTTCCAGCCATTGCAGCCATTTGGGAAGTGGACCAGCATTTGCAAGGCCTCTCTTTCTCTGTCTCTGTCTCTCTGTCTAACTCTGCCTGTCAAAAAATAAAGAAATCTTTAAAGCAAATACAGATTTTGTAATACTTTATAATATTCTCTTTTGGTTTTTGAGCATTATGAAATCATGACAATAATTGAGAAAATAATACTTCTCGAGTGAGCATTTTAATACCATAACTTAATTTGTATTAATTCAATTATCTGACACTTCAAAGGTATCTATAAATAGACTTTAGATATAGTTTTTGGTCTGCCTGGTGATAATGTAATTGTTTGGAGATCCATATTAGCATCATTTTCATATTTCTGGGTTTTCACCCTTTTCTGCATTGAAAATTTAGGGTATGCAGATATGGCTGAAGAGCCCATGAGATTATATTAGGCATGGAAAGCCAAGACACTCTCAACAAAAAGAAAAAAGAAGAGCTAAATGAAAGATCTCTGCTAGTGAGATGCCAGTGGAAAGAACAGGGCCATCAAAGAAGGAGGTGCCTTTCTCTGAAGGGAGGAGAGAACTTCCACTTTGACTATGACCCTGTGGGAATAAGATCAAAGTCAGCAAACTCAAAAGGCTTCCATAGCCTTGGCAACTCATGACTAGAGCCTAGGGAGATTATTGATGCCATAAACGAGTGTCAACAACAGGAGTCACTGAGTATTTACTTCTCATGTGGGATCTGTCCTTAGTGTGTTGTCCAATGTGAAGTAATGCTATAACTAGTACTGACACAGTATTTTACACTTTATGTTTCTGTGTGGGTGCAAACTGATGAAATCTTTACTTAATATATACTAAATCGATCTTCTGTATATAGTGATAATTTAAAATGAATCTTGATGTGAATGGAATGGGAGAGGGAGCAGGAGATGGGAGGGGTGTGAGTGGGAGGGAAATTATGGGGGGGGAAGCCATTGTAATCCATAAACTGTACTTTGGAAATTTATATTTACTAAATAATAAAAAAAGAAATAAAAAAAGAAAATTTTTCTTCAGATTAACTTTCAGACATCACATGTGCCTCACAAATTTCAAAAATGAAATTAATGGTTCTTAAATTTCACAAGAAAAAAAAATTTCACAAGAAATTCCTTTGGCAAAACCTGTCTCAAATGAACACATCAGCATCTACTCTTCTGATTATCCTTCAGACATATTCAGTTTGATTAAGCCAGCATCTCTGAAAGGTTTCTAATGGAACAGTAGTCTGAAATTATTAATACAAAATAAAAGCACTTATATTTCAGGTGCTATTGAAATACTTTACATATAATAATTCCTTAATTCTCATAATAATCTTATGAAGTTTACAGGATTATCCCAATTTGATAGATGAAAGCAATTAGCCTCAGAGAGGGTGACTAACTTGCCTAGTATCACCAAGTAGAAAGTAGCAGACATGAGATTGAAAGTCTCTTATCCTTAATACTTACCTGACTTTTCAAATGTTTATTCAAGTTTGGGAAATTGATTGCACACATTTTGCTTGTTTTTAAGGATTTATTTATTTCAAAGGCAGAGTTATGGAGAGAGAGGCAGAGAGAGAAAGAGAGAGAGAGAGAGAAAATCTTACCTGTGCTGGTTCACTCCTCAAATGGCTCCAACAGCCAGACTTGGGCCAGGCTGAAGCCAGGAGTCAGGAGCTTCATTCCTGGGCCCAAGTACTTGGACCATCTTCTGCTCCTTTTCCAGGCACATTAGCAAAAATGTTGGATCAGAAGAGGGGCAGCTGGGACATCCCATATGGAATGCTAGTGCTGCAGTTGGTGGGCTTACACCACTGTGCAGCAGCGCCACCCCAGCATATTTCTTTTATAAATACCATGGATCTCTAAAAGCTGACCAGAATATGCTGCAGTTCCTGACTTATTTGAACACAAACCTCATACTGCCAAAAGTATAAGAAACACATTACAGAAAGAGTATGTTAAATGCTATTTAATTGTCCCTTTAGCAAACCAATTTTGTACTCAGCAATAGATCAAAACTCTAAGAACAGACAGATATAATTATTATATTATTCCTCAAATATTTAGAAAGAAGACTATAGTCTAGATGTTCCAATAATTTTTGCCTGGGCTGAGGGTCCTTGAATGTAGTCGTTCAAGTATTATGCTGGTCTTCTGATATCCTTGAAGCATATCTGATAGGTATCTGCTATCTCTCAACAGGAAGATCAACAGGAATGTGTTGGGGATATAGCAATAAATCACCTTAAGGGAAAATGTTCAGACTGCCAAAAGGGGGAATATGAGTTTTTTGATGCAGGTAGCCTCATTGAATGATTATCAGGTTTTCCTGATGGGTTCTACTGAGGAAGAGAGCTGGTCAATATTCAAATTACTCCTCAGATCCAGCTGACAGACTAGGACAGCTAATCATATTTCTTGGGGCACCAATCTATCTGGGAATGAGACATCCATACAATAAATGGGATATAGTTCCAATATTCAGGAGGCAAAAACTCTTAAACCAATGGCTGCAGATAGGACCACCTAGCGGACAAGTCTCTGGTATACACTTACAGATATCATTCAGATTCTTAAATTGTGCTTATCCAAGGGGGAACTATCTGTATAATCATTTATCTGATTCACAGATTTTAATTTTCATACAGTTTTAGCATTTTCATGCTAAGTTGTAAGCCCCAGTGTCACTAATAAAAACACATTTGTAGCCTTTATTTTGGTAATTAACAACAATTCAGGTGTTTATCAAGACAAAACAACTGAAGCCCTTGTGGTGGCCTCTATGTGGAATGGTTTCCTGAGTTGGACCTAGCTTATCATTCCAGAACACATCATCCTCTGGTAGGGCAACCAGATTTCCCATAGGAAAAGCATAAAGTGATGGGCACATGCATATTATCACACCATCCAAACTAGTGTTTTTAAGGACATTTCAGGCATAGATTAACAAGATCCTTATTCTGTGAGCTTGACAAATTTCATCTCTATACAGTTTATATTTAGCCAGAATGAATGCACAGATTGCCTATCAGATTAACTAAAGTTGAAAGTTATGTTTAAAATTCAGTACATTAGAATAATATCACTTACATATCAGTATTTTTCTTTTTAGAGAACCAGCGATACTGACGATTCTTTTTGAATCTCTTCATATCGCCATGCGGTTAAATTCGATCCATAATCTAAGAAAAGTAAAAGCACTTGTGAATTTTATATTCCATGTGTTTAGACACCTATCATATCCTTCAAAGGAGAAAGACAAAGACTCACATAGAACTTATTAGGTATGGATCAGCATTTCTAAGGTCCTGAATCTGTAAATGAAGGAAATCTACAGTATCATGTAATTTGATAACTTATGTGGAACATACATTCTTTATTTGCCCTTGGTAAAAAGTAGAAGAAAACATTCCAAAAGTAGAAGAAAACATTTTTTGAAGATTCAACGATATTTACATTTACCTGCAGTACATTTTTTAAAAGCTTCTTTGCTGTTAAAATATTATTTATTATTTGGATTACAGAATTATAGAGACAGAGATACAGAGTGAGAGAGAGCAAAATCATCTATCTGATGCTTCACTCCCCAAATGTCCACAATGGCTGGAGCTCTGCTAATCTGAAGCCAGGAGCCAAGAACGTCTTCTGGATCACCCACATGGATTCAGGAGCCCAAGCACTTGGGCCATCCTTGGCAGCTTTGTTGAGCCATTAGGGGAGCTGGATTGGAAGTGGAGCAGCTGGGACTCGAACTGCACCCAAATGGGATGTTGGCACTGCAGGCATTAGCTTTACCTACTATGCCAGAGCAGCAGCCTTACCCACTACACCACAGCACTGGCCCCAGAATAGACATTTAAGATCATCCAATTGCTACCCAGAACCAGAAAATGAAACAGAATCTGTTTCAACTCAATAGCTGTATCATCATAGTGACTTATGATATTTCCATCCTGAAACATTCTGTAGAATAAATCAAAGAAACGTGAGAAAAAGAGATGTGTCCCTCAACATTACACCCAGTAGCTTTGTGTCATGTAAGAAAATTGGAAGTCACAGGAAAATAAGACATTGCCAATCACATTGCCAGGGAAAAACAACATGATGACTACATTTAGGCAGTCAGAACTGTACCATAAGTCCCTAAACTCTTGGCAAAGAGAGAAAAATAATTTAATATAAAAATAATTATTTTTAAAAATAAATAGTCCAATTTTGGGCATAAATGTTGATTTTGAGTTTTGGACCCATGCCACAGCCATCTGTAAATTTCATACATTTGAAAGGATACCAACTCATTGGCAGAAGGGGTAGAAATTCCCAAGCTCCCAGTCTACCATCTAGTGCTCCAGAGATGTGCTAGAGGCACATCTTTAGATGTGAACCAGGGTGACCCAAGGCAAAGTGGGATTTCTAGGAATATTTTTTCTCTTACTATTCCTCAGAAGAGGCTAGAAACAACAGGATACAGTAGCTCTCAGTATTGTGCACTCCTGTAGTTTTCTCTAAAAGGGAGGTAACTTTTTTAAGATCTTGATTCAAGTTTCCTCTCCTACTATCCTTCAGAATAATGGTTTTCCCTTTTTTCATAGTTTCTTGTGTGTGTGTGTGTGTGTGCATTTATACATATATACATATATATATATATATTCCTTTTCTTATTTTTAATTGCCCCAAATCAGAATTTGTTAAGTCAAATCTTCACTCAATTCCTTGCCAGCAACAAGGTCACTGCTACTTAACCAATATTGACTTAGTTGTTCACTGGTCCCAGAGGGTAAGGGAGATTTGGGAGGTCCCCCAGAGGGGAGAGGAATGTTTATCAGTGCTCTTCTCACCATTGGGCTCAAGGCTATCTTCCCATCTATGAGCCCTAAAGACTCTCAGCCCATCCCCACTCCCTTCCCTCCTTTTTCTCCAGCTATACACCTCCATTCTTTTCATGAGAATGAGAGGGCAGGGGATAGGATAGGGGGACCTTGCTCTGAGACCCTTACCACCATGTCCTACGCCTTTGGCTGCGAACATGCCAATGAAAGAATAAGAGTTCCATGTCCATGGCAACCACAGATTCTGGTGGTCTTGAGATCATTGTGAGGAAAGAATGGAATGAATTTGGTCCCAGACTGCAAAGATTTTTTTTAAAGACACATGCTGTTTGTTTGAAAGATGGGTGACAGAGTACACCAACATCAAATACTCCAGAAGAATAATCTCAAAGCAGAGATTGTTTTATCTGTTATTTTTTCTTTTGTGTATAATGGAGGGGCTTCTTACACACACAGATATTTCAAAAACTAGCTTTATTTTCTTTGTGGGTTGGAAGACTCAATACTGTTAGGATGTCAGTTCTCCGACAAAATGGAGTACAAATTCAATGCAATCTCAACCAAAAATTTCAGTCAGCTTTAAGAAAATTTTGGTAGAAATTGGGAGTTGTTTCTAAAATTCATGTGGAAATATAAAGGAATTCCAAAATCCAAACAACTTTGATACAAGAACAAAGTTGAAGGGCAAACATGAGTTGATGTCAAGACTTTTTAGGACAGACATAAGTAAAAATAAATCAATAAAACAATCAAAAGAATAACAAAGAATCAAGAATCAAAGTATATACCCACACAAATAGACAACAAAGATAGAAAGGGAAATCAGCCACGCAGGATAGTATTTTCAAAAAATGGTGGTTGATTGATTGAAAAATTAACCTCAGTATGTAAGTCTCATCATATCAAAAACCAGAGAAATAAATGCAAAACTCAAAATCAATAAAATTTCAGGAGAATACTCTATGGCCTGTATTAAAGTTTTCTAGATACAACACCAAAAACATGATCCACAAAATAAAAACTGACCAATTGGTCTTCATCAAAATTTAAAACTTCTCTCCAAAAGACAGTTAAGAGAATGAGAAGGGATTACACAGTCTGGGAGAAAATCATTCCAAAGCATATATTTTAAAGAGACATCCAAGAGATACCAAGGTGGCAGAATGGAAAGATAACTGCTATAGTCAAAGGGAAGACAGTTAAAAAACATGGAGAGAGTGCAATCTCAGGGAGCAGTTAGGAAGAAAACTGCAGTGGAAACTCCACAGGAGTTAGAAGGACACTGTAGATCTAAGTGGAGGGTGTGGACATGCAGCATGAACACAGACACAACACAGGCCCCCAGCAGCCAAGAGCCTCAGCAACACCTTTGGAGGGGAATGAGGTGAGAATAAACTACGGCAGCCTAAGCCACCAGCCATAAAGCTGTGTGTAGACATGAGTCTGGCTTGGAGCCCTGTGGGGGACAGTGTACCTGCCAACTTAAAGGAAAACAAAGGAGGCTGTTTCTCTCTCCTCCTGACCACCAAACCATGGTGTCCTGTAATTAGCTGAGAGGGTGGGTGTCATTTGATCATAGGTAACAGCTGCATCAGCTTGTGTCTGTACACCCAGCAACCACCCAAGAGGAGATGCCTGTGTCTAGCTGGGAGAATTGACAGGTGACTGGACACCCATGACTGTGGGAGCCTTGTGTGCAAGGACTGTGAAAAAAACTGTGTCAGTGTGGGAGGGTGCAGGGTGTGGCTGGGTCTCTGGGGAGTTGCAGTGGGCAGGTCCACACACTCCAGGCTCATTGATTGCTTTGGGAAGGCCATTACTGAGGGATCTGTGCTTACATTAAAGACTGCATGGATCCTTTTTCTGTTTCATGTGGCAGCATGGATGAATATTGCACCCATTGGGGATAGCACCTGCATTTTTACCTTGGAGGAGAGGAGGTGAGCATGAAACTATGCCAACAGAGCTCATCAAACTCTCAACACTAATAAAAAAAAAAGATTGACATTTGCCACATTCATCTTGGGTGTCACTCTGGACATTCCCCTCACTCTGGAGCACTGAATGGAGCTTTCTGGCAACACCCAGCACAGACCTCTGAAAGAGCAGACACTACACTGTGCCACAGAGGCATAGTCCAAAGATAAAAGCCACCAAGAGAAACAAGCACCAGCAACAAATATCTCCACAAATGCTTAAAATAAACAAAGAAAATCTAGAATCAAATAGGGAAGACTACATGACACCCCCAAAGGAACACAATACTTCAATACTAGAATGTGAAGATGGAAAGTCTGATGAAATGCCAGTAACCAGTTTCATAAAACTGATTGTAGGATTATTTAGAAGTAATGAGGGGCAAATTCATGAATTCAAGCAATCTATATGTGACATGAATTAAAATGTTTCCCATGAAATTGAAATATTAAAGAGAAATCAAAATAAAATATTACAAATTACAAATGAAGAATTCAATAGATCAAATAAAAAATGGGGTAGGAAGCTTTAACAACAGACTCAGTGAGGCAGAAGAAAGAATATCTGAGTTAGAAGATAAGTCTCTGGAAATTTTACAGTCAGATCAAAAATAAAGAAATTAGAAAACTTAAAAACAATGTTGAAGATTCATGGGATACTCAAAGGACCCAACATACGGGTCTTTTCCTACTCCTCTTTCTTCAAATGGAAATCTCTCCTTCTTCAGCCCACTCTAGCAGAGACCCACAAATGGGAAACCTGAGTTTCCTAAGGGATTGTTTGCCCCCAACTAAAAATGACAAAAATACTTACTGGAAGAGCCATGCCTTTCATGACTTCTGCTTCTGTTACCCAATTTAACCTAAGAAAGACAAAAAGTTCTCGACAGATACTATAGTGTTCTCAAGGACAGTAAATTTCACAAAAATCAACTGTTTTCTTTCATTGTATTATGTTTCTGCGTGTGTGGTGTTGATAGAAATATCTAGGTGTGTATGAGAGCAATTAAAAAGGTTCATGAAAATGGATTTGAACAATAAGTTTATATTGATGCAAACATTCTGAAATACCGGCATACATAACTCATATTTCCATTCACTCTTCCTTTTAAAAAAGATTTAATTGGAAGGTGGAGTGACAGAGCGTGGAAGAGAGTGAGTGAGAATGAGAATGAGAGAAAGAGATAGCTACCCTTTACTGGGTCACTCCCTAAATGTGGGGAGCAACTGGGAGCAACTCGGACTAGACTAAGTTACTGGAATTAAGACTTATTCTATGCATCTGCTTTCCCACAATATGGCGCTGAGAAGGGAAACAGCTTCTACACAGCTGCCTCCAGTTCAACCAATAAACTGTGGGACCTGCTCCTGATTGGAGGAGAGCAGCGTACTCGGTGTGTGGGTAGCAGAGTTGGGATTGGTGGAAGAGGACTATAAAGGAGGAGAGAGACGGTATGCACAGGGAACATCTAAGGGGAACATCTAGCTGGAGGAACACCTGTGCAGCCCCCCGAGAAAGCCGGCCGGCGGTGTGCCGCTCCCCTGCGGAAGTGGGGAATGCGGCCAGGGGGAACTGCCCTTCCACGGAGGTGGAAGGGATAGTAGCCAACCTGGGAAGAACCAGCAGCAAACCCGGGGAGGGCCAAGCAGACGAAAGAACAGCGCAGGGTCCTGTGTTGCTCCTCCACGAACAGGGGGAGCGACACCTAAATGGCCTCAAAGACTAGGGCTGGATCAGGCCAATGTCAGGAGACAGAAACTCCATCTCATTTTTGCATGTGAGTGACCAGGCTCAACTTTGGGCCATCAGCCGTGTCTCCTTCATAGATGTATTAACATGAAGTTGGATTGGAAGGGGAGCATCCAGAACTCTTTTAGCTGGGATGAGTTAAAAGACAGAGACAGACTCAATGGATTAAAAAAGAGAACCCATCAATGGATTAAAAAAGAAAACTCATCTATTTGCTGCCTACACTGTCAAAGAGGCACACAGACTGAAAGTGAAAGGAGGGAAAATGATATTCCATGTGCTTTTTGATGATTATTCATGCACACACCCATACATATGCACACATAACACATAAACACACACAAATAAATATATGTAATCTGACAAAAATGCAACCCTAAAAGACTAGGGATTAAAGTATTCGTTCACTCTGGATATACTTCTGTTTTAAGAGTCCTGAGATAGTCATTATTGTCACATGGAGCATCATTTTTAAATTTTTAAAAATACCTACCACATTCAAATTAATGATATGCACACGTGTATTTATATATCAATCAGTTCACAAGTAGTAGCTTAATTTTAAGGATTGTATATAGTTACCTGTGTCTTTCAGGGGGTTCATGTATACATATACACATATTGCATTTGTTTTTCATTCATTTATCATTGCTGGATTCCATATAACTAATGATGTTGATTCATTTGGGTGTGAGCTAAGGGAATATAAAGATATATAGTCAGAAATCACACAAGATTTTATCTTATTATTTTATACTTTAAGCTCTCAAAATTACAAAACAAAGAATATTAAAAACTGCAAGAGAAAAGTATCAAGTTAACTTTAAGAGCAATCCTATTAGAATTGTAACAGATTTTTCAACAGAAACAATACAAGCCAGGAGAGAATAGAATGATATATTCCAAGTTCTGGAAACAAAAAGTCTAGCAGAATGCTTTAACCAGCTTAGCTATATTTCATAAGTGAAGAGAAATATAATTCTAAGACACACAAAAATTGAAGAAATTTGCCTCTATCAGATCAGCTTTATAAACAATGCTTAAAGAAGTCCTATAAATAGAACCAAAGAAAGATAACTATCATGATGGAAATACATGAAATTATTGAATTTCTGACATTGACTTGCTTGCTGAAAGTGGCAGAAGATGCTGGTTTATTCCTCAAATGGACACGATAGCCAGGGTGAGTACAGGCCGAAACTAGGAGCCAGGAAGTCCATTCTGGTCTCCCACATGGGTGGGAGGGGCCCAAGTCTTTGAGACATCTTCCCACTGCTAGCTTTAATACTGAGCTGGATTGGAAGCACAGCATCAGGGAATTGAATGGTCACTCTGAGACAGGATGACATTACAAGTGGCAAGTAAACCTCTGCTCCACAACACTGGTTCCCTTCCTCAAACTTTTTGAAATGTCTTTATTCATTGATTTGGACCTTACATTTCACTGATGGGTCTTCATAGATTCCTGATGTCAATTCAGTCAAGTAAGATCAAAAGGATTAAAGAATAGTACATAGGCATAAATCATATGTGAATATGACTTACTTTTTCAGTCAAGTGATCACATGTATCCTAAAGCTTGATTTTTTCTTTTTACAGGCAGAATTAGACAGTGAGAGAGAGAAACAGAGAGAAAGGTCTTCCTTTTCCCTTGGTTCACCTCCCCCCCAAATGGCCGCTATGGCCAGCATGCTGCACCGATCTGAAGCCAGGAGCCAGGTGCCTCCTCCTGGTCTCCCATGCGGGTGCAGGGCCCAAGGGCCTGGGCCATCCTCCACTGCACTCCCGGGCCACAGCAGAGAGCTGGACTGGAAGAGGGGCAACTGGGACAGAATCCGGCACCCCAACCGGGACTAGAACCTGGGGTGCCGGTGCCGCAGGAGGAGGATTAGCCTAGTGAGCTGTGGCGCTGGCCTAAACTTGATGTTTTAATATGCATCTGCATGTTACTACTTTGAGTCTGGTGTTTTAAAATTAGGAATGAGTTTATATGGTGGTAATGATTACCTTAGGCTGGTGAAAATAGTACTATGTCCAGTTTTATGTTGTTAACATCTTAACACCGATATGTGAAAGGCTTTTGTGGTAGAATTTATTTCAAATTCAACTTCACTTTCTGATTACACATTGCTCTTACTAAATCAAATGCCATTACTTCTTAGGTACACCTATCACCTCCTTACTTTCATTCCAAATGACTGTTTTTCCTGCCCCTCAGAAACATTCAAGTAAATTTATGTGTGAGTGGCTCCATCTTGTGTGTTGGAGAGTTTGGTGTCAGGGATAAAGCTCATATGCTGGCAGAGACCTGAAGGATGAGGAACACACCCTGGTTCCATTAGCTCCATTCTCTGCTGCAGGCTCCACTTCTTCCTATCCACTGGCACCTCCTGGCTTCCAATAAGGCTCTTTCCTTTCATCCATCAGTACAGTAAAGTCTAACACACAGGCATTCTGAAAATTTCCTTAGAGCTTTTCTAGGGGTTACTAGATTTGAATACTAGCAGGAGGAAGAAGTATTCCTCTTATGACATGTTCTTCTTTTACCCAAATTCATGCAAAAACAGGAAAATGACCTACATATGCTTCTGTGAAAATATATGAAAAGAGTCTCCAACACTCCCTTCTGCCATGCTCCTCTCAGGAATTTTGCCAAATCTCAATCATCATGATTTTCTGTGTATATTTGTGTGAGTATTCACATTTGTATGTGTACATGTAATTAGCATATATATCTATATCTATCTGACAAAGTGTATTCATCCATATATCTTTTTTAAAATATAATTTTACTTATTTGAAAGAGTTTCAGAGAGAGAGGTAGAGACAGAGAAAGAGGTCTTCCACCTGCTGGTTCACTCCCCAAATGGCTGCAACAGCCAGAGCTGATCCAAAGTCAGGAGTCCAGAGCCTCCTCCGGGTCTCCCATGTGGGTGCAGGAGCCCAGGGACTTATTTCACCCATCACTGTCTTTTCTGTCTATGAGATAGGGTAGAACAGCTGCAGGCCTGTGCAGAGGCATCTGCCAAAATAATATTGGGTCTGTGGCACCAGCCTCATATGGTGGCAGAGCTTGGAAGGAGAGGCACACATCCAGGTTCCAGTTGATCTTATCATTTCTGGGAGGGCTCTGCTGCTCCCTTTATACTACTTCCTGTTCTTGGCTACAAATAAAAATCTTTTCTTTACTAGAGGAGTCAAGTGGAGACTAGTATATGGGACACCTGACAATTTTCTAAGGGATTGACTGCAACAAAGGGGAATAAGCGAACTGACTGGAAGAGGCATGCCTTCCATGACCAGTCTCTCTTATGTACAACTTGAACCCAGAAAAAAGAAAGTTTGCTACAGACCACACCATCAGAATATTTAGAAAGTGGCAAAGGCATATTGCATTGCAAGGATATTGCCAAGAACAAATTTTACAAATGTCAACAGCTTTCATTCTGTGATGTGTTGGTGGGTGTTGACAGAAATATCTAGGTGCATGTATAAGTATATATATAAATATACATTTACATGGTCACATACTTATCTTCTCAAGTTATTTGTGCTCATACTTGGTAACACCTTGACCATACATAACTGACTCCAATTTATTTGGGTGTGGGCTCAGATATAAAAGTACATAGTCAGAAAGGTATAATTTTAACTTTTTTCTATCAAATAGCTACAGTTGCTCCAGATAAAAACTATTTGGTGTTTAT